TTGAATCCAGAGCAGCTATTTCTGATGTTGCCAGAAGCAGCAATGTTTTGGCAGTGGTGGCAGTCTGGTGACAATACTTTCTCAGATGGGTGGATGGGAGCTGCAGGATCTGACAGTAATGTTTGCTTGTTTGGCTAAGGATCAATAGAGAGTATAACTAAGGAGCAGCTGAGCTGCTATCCTCAGGTTAGCAAATGAGGCTGTTTCTTACCGAAGCCAGCTGTTAAACTATTGTCTGCAGAGTGGTTTGCTAGATTACTTATGTGGTCTCTGCTCATCTTTCAGCTTCTTTGGATTTGGTTATTGATCAGATTGCATGCTGTATTTTCACTCTGTCACTGTACACATAGAGCATGCTACAGAGTTCGTCTCACCCCGCTGAATCATAAATGTTCATGTGGCTGACTCACATATAGGGATTGTAAAGTGATTGATTTGCAATTTTATAGAGAGGGGGAAGAAAGAAAAATTGCTTATTTCCCATTAATGGTCTATGAAATTGCCACAGCATTGAGATATATTATTTCTATTACATTCTTGTGTTTGCAGCAGGGGAGCATGGTTAGGATTTTCCCGCATGGAAATCAGTGGAATCAGTGGGGGGGGGGGGACAGGTTGTTGTGTATCCCTCATAACATGGCAACAGGAGTTGTTCTCTGTTGGATGTTGCAGAACAGAATGAGCGTGCTGTACAGATGCATGCTTCACACAACCTTCTCCTTCCCGATGAATAACACAGCCTGTGTTGATGCATCAGTGTGAAGATGGCTTTGGTTGGAGGAATGCCAGAGACATTTGCGTATTTTTAGTTAACTTAAGCTCAGAGGCAGCATTCTGCACCCTAAATTGTCTTCTCAAATTATGCCAATAGTGCATAGGTTATTAAACAGACTCTAAAGCATTCTGGGCATTCCTGCAGAAAAGAAATCAATCAGAGGATGCGAAGAGCCAGTGAGAAATAACATCGCATTTGTCACTGAAGTCTGTTTTTTTTTTGAATTAAGATTTCATTTGATGTTACCCATTGAAAACTTCTATTAATGTAAGATGCAGGTTTATTTATAGTTCTGTATTTCTGCAAGTCATCTGTTTGTACACTTTGTCCATTAACATCCATATCTAATGCTAGACGAGGCTGCCCAGGGCCCGATCCAACCTGGCCTTGAGCTCCAGGCATGGGGCATCCAAAGTGTCTTTGAGCAAGATCGTAACAACATTGTTTTTTAATGTTGTTCTTTTAGGTTTCTTTATTTTCTAGAAATATTCTACCACAGTATGCAGCTTGTTTGTGTTTCCAGTGAAGCTAACAGCAAAATTGCCGGTGATGGATGAAAACAAAACAAAAAACAAAACAAAACAACAACAAAAACAAAACAAAACAAACAAACAAACAAAAAAAAAAGTGAAAAATGCTTTGAAAGCATTGGTTTCATTTAGGTAAATTGAATTGGTTCACCAAAAAATGAGATATATAATTGTTTGCTTCAATCTTAGTTACAGAGAGACAAGCATCTCTTTAAATCAGTTTCACAAATTTATTTCTACCATGCTCTGAAAAAGATGTACTACCTAAATTTTAAGCCAAAATTGGAAGATAAGCTCTAGCAATGGAGACAAACAGAATCTAAACTTAGTGTTCAAGAACAATAGCAAAAACCTCAGTTCTAGCTCTTGCTAATTCACTTTAATATCTTTGTTGTACTTATAGTGCTCATTTTCTCAAATATCCTACTTCTGGTTTTTAACTTTTGACCCTGAACTGCTCCTCCATCAGAAATTTCCGTGTATAACTAATAGCAGGTTTTTTTGCTTCTTGCCCTATTTAACAGGGGCAGTAACTTCCAATGTTTGCTTCTTCAAGTGTGAAAGGGATATTTTAGTATTACGCTTCTTTGTGAGGGACAGCAGTTGATAAATAAAGTGTGGTCTGAGAGAGCTACTGATTAGCTTTAGGCTACTGGTTAGCTTAGGGAACACCACAGAATCAGAGGAGTTTGGCTTAGGTATACACTGCTGTTTTATTTGGCTTCAATACCTTTTTTTTTTTTTAAAAAAAAAAAAAAAAAAAAAGAATTTTAAAGCATTTCAAACCTAATGAGTACAGAACCGTTTCTGCTGAGTACCACTTGCTAGCTTTGCATTTGCTTTTACAACAGCACCTACGCTTCCCGAAAGCCTTAAAAACACGTTTAAAGCGCCAGATCGCCGTCATCCTGTGCCAAAGCTAAATATAAATGTTTCCACACGTCAACTGAGTGAAGATCAGATGTTTTAAAAAGCATTTGATTTTCATTTGCCCAAAGGCTGCTCTGCTAAAAATTTTTTCAGTGACCTCATGGCTGAAAGTGAATGAAAATTTGTCCTTTTAGCTGTTTCATAACTTGACTGTTCTGCACAGCTTTGTGACCTGGGATTATTATTTCTTTGTTCTGCTATTTCTAACTTTCATCATTTGAGTTTTGATTTGTAGGAAAATTGCATAGGTCTTGAGGTATCATTGTCAGTGCACATCTTTGACTGAAATTTGCCCGATATGTTTGTAGGATATGAAAATGCTGTTCAGCTAGATCAGGCCTCTCTGAGAGCAGGTTCATTAAGCTTTCACTTTGATGTCCTGAAACAAATGTGTTGTGTAGCCTTCTTTTTCAAAAACTGTACTGCTGGTTAATGCCCTCCCAAGTGCTGTTCATTTATTCCTTAGAGCCAAATGTTGGCTTTCCCTCCTTGCTTTTGTGCATCTTTCATCTATGGAAGATAAAGTTCAGTGCTTTTTAGTAAGTTGTATTTTCCAAAAAAAAAAGACAATTTGACCTGATAACGAATGTTTAAAAATGTTTAGTATTTGTCTTGCTGCATACAAATAATACAAATACTATTCACAGTAGTGCTATTGTGTGCGAACCTTGATTTTAATCAAATGCAAATGGAAGCCTGCAAACCAAAGTGGCAAAATGTGAAGAACTACAGCAGCTCTGGAAGATGGATTTTTTTTTATTTTTATTTAATTTAATTTAATTAATTTATTTATTTATTTTGCATTTGAGGCTCACCATAGCTGAACAGGGTGCAGAAGAGGACTCTAAATGGGAGCAGAGCAGAGCAGAGAGGAGCTCAGTTCTGCTGTGCCTGGGGACTTGGCTACAGTCAGCCAACTTCAGTGAAACAACTGGCAGCTGGCTCTGTGCCTGCAGCCCCAGGTGGAGTTCTGCTGCCTGATTAACCAGCAAGCCTTGGCTGGACTTGGGGGAAGCTTGCTGGATAGTAGGGAGATCCCAGGGTCAGCTACACAAGCTTATCTCTTGGAGCTCTTTTGTCTATCCTGGTTGACTCCACTGCTGGGCCTGCTACAAGGGACTTCTAGGTCATTTTGCTCAGAGTGGCAAAACTAAGAACTGGAAATAGCTTCTGTTACTAGTAATAACATTTTGCATCTAATAAGTTAAATTGCTAGTGAGCTCTAGTGACTTCCTGCAACCACTGTCTTGTAGCTGGCTGGAGCAGATCCAGCTTATCTTTTTAGACTTCTAGCAGGAGTGTTTCAACCAGAGAGGAACAGAAAAATTGTCAAGATATTCAGGTTGTATGGGCTAGTGAAACAGCTGTGCCCTCCCAGCCATGCCATCAGCATTCTGTGTGAGCCCTACAGATGTTACACGGGGTCTGTAATGCTGCAGGAGGCTCCTTAATGGAGATGAAAATTCATCCACGGGATGAGGATGAGTTTCATGTTTGCGAAAGTACTGACAAAATAATAAATTGAGATTATTTAACTTTCCACAGTACAGTAAGCAGGGAAGGTGTTACATATTTTTCATTTTAAAATGACTTGCTCATTAGACACAATTCCTGCAAAAGACATACAGAAGACCTGTGATACTGCTCAGATTGGGCTCTTGAACAATGTGAATTTTCAAGTGTTGCCAGAATAACAGATGACAGCATGAAGTCTGTCACTTACAAGCTGTCACAGAACTTGACTCCAGCAAAAGAGTGATTGTTAGGGTGTAATATTCTGAAACTGCTGGCTGCAAGATGAAATGTAATTATTTAGCTGCCTCATCTGGGTTTAGGAAGATAGTCTTGCATGGCCATTTGTTGTGACTGGAGTAGCTAAAGCTGTGTCTTCATCATGTCATAATTTCTTGAGCCCACGATCACTTCTGAGTGTTGGTTAATGTATTTTGTCCTGATCTCATTAAGTACGGTGCATGGCAGTACCTTTCTCCACACCCATCTAAAGCCAGCTGTACTGGGCAGACTCTTGATGTGCTGTCACAACAGCATTTTTGGAAGGACATCGTGTTTCTTAATTAGGGAAAGAGCAATGGAGAAGATGGGTGATAGTCTCAAGCAGAGGCATCATTCCAGGAAATGGTTTTATCTGAGGCTGGTTAGCTGCTCAGTGGGATGGGAGGAGGAACTAGGATGCGGAAGTGTATGGAGTGAAATGAAGGCAAAGAGATTGCTATTGTGGGCAAAGCAGACTCAGTCTGGGGAAAATTAGGTGGACTTATTGCTAAATAAAATAGATTTGGATAGAAAGAAATCTAAGACATTAAACCTGTACCTTACCAGGGCGTGGATGATGGGCAATGGTCAGTACGGAAATTTTCCCTTCCACTCTTTCCTCCTCACACTTTTCTCAGGTTGAAGTGGGTTCCCTGTGGGCTGCACTTACGTCAGGAATATCCATTTTTGTTGTGGCTACTGAGGAGTTACTTGATAGTGTTGAGATATCATGTAATATGAGATATTGACCGCTTGAAATGGATTGTGAACTTTGTGTGGGAATTGCTGTGAATTGCCTAGGCCTTTCCATTGAGGCTTTTGGAGATATCGTATGTGAGAATGTGTTTGTATTGGTTAGAATGAGGAAAGGAAGTAAAAATTCGAGAGGTCGGTTGAATTAAATAGTGACTGTCAATAGATGTCTGTGCTGCAGAGCTATTTTAAAGTGAAAATGTATTCATTCTCCTTCTCTCACATTTTTCATTGTTAAGGTGAAGTTCAGCTGAGTTTAAACTCTTTTGGCACTCCATAAGCTGTGAAACAGAAGAATGCAGAAGAGTATCCTTTGCCTTTTAGTACATGAATGATAAGAGCACAAGATCATTACTGCAAGTTTTCTGCGAAGATGAGTTCGGAGGAGAAGAGTATATCTCCTGCTCACAAAACATCCACTCCATCACATAGAAGTGCCTCCTGTTCATCATCATCTCAGAGGGATAGGAGACAGGTAAGGAGAAAATTCTGACCTGTGAGACGTCTAGTGAAATTATTTATTCCTGTAGAGTTCTTTGCAGTATGAGCCTACAGTTGCTCTGTTTTTCTTTATATATAAAAATCTCTTTGTTAACTAAACTACAGAGATGTGTCACCTTTCCTCAAGATTATATTTCAATTCTATTTAAATGTTATATTGTTAGTCCTCTATGAAAGCACTTAAGATTTTAAATATAATTTGGTTTACTGCAAATTTACCCTGATTGCTTGAAGTCATGTAGTAGCAGTCCAGTTATGTTAGACTTCTGTCTATGTGAATGAATCGCATTATTTCTCTAGGATCCTTTTCAGAAAGGGGTGTACTATTTCCACTCAAAGCAACCTGTGCATCCTGTGGGTTTTTTTTAGTGAGCTGGCTGTACAGTCTGGCTCCAGCATCAGGGGCCTTTTAGAAAGCATCAAGAGCTATTATCACAGATCGTAGCTTGTAATAAATGCAATATTTGGGACTGAAATATTTGGTTAGAATAAAAACGTACTTTGAAAGTTGAACTTAATGGGAATCTTAAATACTAAATGAGATTTTAAGTTAACACCATCCTGTTTAAAAAGAACTGTGGAAATATTATCATTAATGCAATAATGTCGTCTTTTCAGCTAAACAAGAGAAAGAGGCAGCAAAAGAACTTTACTTAGTGTTTGTGTGGTACACATTTACTTGAATGACTGTAGCTTAAGGAGGTTTTCGCAGCCACTTGAATGCCAGCTGGGATGCTTTTTACTCACTGCTGCTGAAGTAGTTTTCTTTTTTCTTACCTGAATTGTAAAACTCCAAAGACAAAGTATTTTGGCAAGTGCTATAACGTTTATGGCTTTGAGTGTAAATAGTCTCACCATCAAGTATATTTTAACTGTTAAACAGTGAAAAGAATTCTGATATGTGTTTGTCAACAGGCAGAAATTGTCTGGAATTTTAAAAAATCATTTCTAATGCCTTTCAGTTTAGGCAAAAGACAGATGATAAATACTTTCCCTTCTGGGTTGTATAGAAATAGGGATAGCTGTATTTGGTTACATTCTAGTTACTGTATGGTATCCCCTTAATTTTTTTGCTAATTTCACTTGAAACTTTGTTCTGAACAAAAACATGTTTTATATCATTCTGCAGTTAAATCCAAAGAATGGAAGACTTGTGAGGGCTACTTATTCTCCAAATATTGTTTGCAATTAGGTAGTTTGGTAGGATTGTGCAAGGGAGAATTAAAAAAAAAAAAAAAAAAAAATTGCCTTTGGGAATATGTGTTACCATAAATCTAGTAGCTACCATATTTGTTACCATGGCAACAGGGTAGTGTAAGGTATACCTGTCATTACAATGAAATGGATGCTTAACTTTAAGTCTGTATTTGGTCACTGACATGTGAAGCATGAATTTAAAATAGCCTGAAGAGGTTGATGGTGTGATGGTGCATCTAGAGCTATCTTAGATCCAATAATGTCTGAAGGTGCTTAGCTAGTATATCTAGGAAATGTGGAATGGAAAGGAAAAGAATGAAAAGCATTCCTATTGGTGTTTTTAGTGATAGAGGCAGGGAAATATTGAGGAGAATGAATGGATCAGTGATTTTCTTCTGCAGCTGGAGTGAGCAATACAGCATGAGATACAACAGTACTATACCCAAGGAAGTGAACATACCAGTGGTTCCTTTCTGCATATTTTTAGATGCAGCAAATCATGCGTATTCTTTGTACCACCAACTGTTACAACTGTATGTCTAATTTATTTCCTCACTTCTGGCATTATTTGTACACATTTTCCTTTTTGTAGGATTTCCCTAGAACGTAATCATGGTTGAGGCTGTAGGGGATTTTGGTGTTTGAAAAAGCTTGAAAGTTTTCTCTTACTGCCGCCTCAAACTCTTCATAGGAGCTGGGAAAAAAAATCCTCTCAAAAGGCGTAATCTGTATGGATGTGCAATGTGATATGACTGGGTACAGTGTCAATGTGGCTTTCATTGTCATATATGAGGATAACACTTGATATTTCTAGATGGTTAATGATTGAAATCTTCCCATCATATAATTCTTGTCAAAGTCACACTAGCAATTACGGAACAGTTTCCCAATAAATTATGGTGGGGGAAGTTGAATGAGTGTGAACTTGGCTATGATAAATCATCTCAGAGAGAGTGGAAAATGTCATGCTGTATATAATGCTGGCATTTTAATGTAGCTTTCTTATTTGTGCAATATACATCACCTAAGAGAATTAGCAGTCAGCAAAAGCTTTGACATTGCCAATTTGCAGTCTCCATGACTACGTAATTGATAAATGAACAGAATGTTTTGAAGCCAGCAATAGCAAAAAAAAAAAAATTGGGATCAAACTTTTATTGTCATAGGAACTTCAGTGTCATTTGTTCTCAACAAAATCTTGGTTGATTTGGATGATCAGAGAGGCCCACGCCAGACCTCTGTTGTTTAACTCTTGGGCTGAGCCATGCTGAAGGGCAGTTGTGTGGTCATGATGGGCACACTGCAGAGAGGAGCAACAGAGCATATAGTCTCCGTCAATTGCAGGAAGACTAGCACTGTTTGTAGGAAGTGCAGTTACATTTTGTAAAAGCATATGTTATGTATTCAGTCTGGTGATTGTAAAGTCTTTGTGCATGTTCTGTATTTTAATTATTGACTAAGTACGCAAGTCATACTGCAGTTTATATTGTTAAATATTCACTGCAATGTGTAGGCAGTAATACTGTGCTGAGAAGGAAAGCATGTTGTAAGGTTAACATGGCACAGTTTAGTAAACTGGGGCCTGACCCCTGGCTATTAAACCTGTGGTCACAGAACAAAGTGTGTGTTGTAGAAGAAGATAAAAAAAAAAAATAATAATAATAATAATAATGATAAAGTTTTGAACAAAGACAAGAATTTGACTTTTCTTACCGCTGTCTAAAGGATGGCTAATATGCGATGGAAAGTGAATTTAGCAGCATCTGCTGTTTTCAGTGTGGAGGCTTGTTTTCTAATGTCTCAGTTTTCTTTTTGTTCTTTTAGGAAGGAGGCATGATCAGCTGTTATCTTTCTGCTGCTTTCGGTCCCATTACTGTTTCAACAAAACCGTACAGCAAACATAAAAGAATAGCTTTTAGTTCTGCTGCATTTAGCTTTGTATGGTCATCTTTCTAATAGGAGAGCTTTCATATTTCAAACGATGCTGTATTTTAGCCATATGTGTAGACTGAAAAATGGAGGCTACGAAGGAAAAAGACTTTTTTTTTTTTTTTTGATTGTTTTAAAATATTTCAGCACCTTTTGCTTGATAGTATAAGTTGTCAGAAAGAGGCACATCACGTACACAGGTTCATCGTGGTTGCTGGCAATTCAAGTCATTTGAAAGAATCTCTCTTTTCATTGCAGTATTCCATTTAGCATATTTGATACTTTTTCTGGGACACTCAGAATAACTGGATGTGTGAGAGCTGATGGAAGGACTTGAGGAATGTTAACGCTTGCATGGTTGCTTTTTTTGGTTTTATTTTTAGTACATTGAATTTCCTCAAACTCAGCTTTCTCTTTATGAACACTTATGATCAGTGCTACAATATCAAAGACATTTTTTTGTCTGAGAGATTTCTGATTCATAAATAATGACAATATGGCTGATGGCTCTTTTTACCATCTCTGCCTGTCTGTTTGGTTTGCGTCAGAAGTTGTTGCTCACACAAGACTGCAGCACAGTGTAATATATTCCAGTGTAGAAATCTGGGGACGTTTATATCCTATATTTGAGTAGATGCTCAAAGTACTCTTGCTCACTGCTGACAGCCTGTTGTGACATGGTGAAAAAAATTCTTGTGGTTACCTGTAAATTTCATTTGGTTTTGTTACTCCATGACTTTAAAGGAAAGGAAATCAAAGACAGATAGCTGTTGGTAGTTATATACAGACCTGACAACAGTGAACTTTATTCCTAACTTTGTGCTGCAACAAAGTGTAGACTTTTGCAAGTAGTTTAACTTCTCAATAGTTTGTGAGAATTATTTCAATAATTGCTAATCTCTTTCAGAGTTGCAAATTGAAGGTGCTATTAAATTCTGAGTACTGTTGTTGCAGTAAAGTAATTCTCTTTTGCTGTCTCTTTCCTAGTTAACTCTCTTCAGAATAACACAGATGAAGCAGCGTTAGTGCAGGAAGTGTTAAATACTTTAGATGGCAGCAACTCACTGGAGCAAACAATTAATCTAAGGGAGTTAAAGAATGAAGTGGTGAAATTGGTAACAAAAACATGCAATTAATTTTTAAATCAGCTAACTGCTTCTACTCTGTAGGTTTTTTATAATTCTCTGCATTTAGCACAGTCTGTAAAGCTTCATTATGTTAAGAAGACAGTGGCTTTTATTTCAGCATCTGAAAAAAAATGTCTGAAAGGAGGAATTGAGTTACTTAGGAAGATGTAGGACCACCACTGTGAATGTTCAATGATATAGCACTTGTCATTGAAATCATAACTCCCAGGCCTACAAGATTCCTTATTTGTCACTTATTACAGTGAATTTAATCCATGAGCAATTGTCTACAAGTGATCCAGTTGTTGAGAGTAATTGTATATGTACCTAAAGTGTTGTTCCATATGTGTCTGAGCCCACCAACGTGGCTGTTGGAATTACCTTGCCTCCAGAAGTATGGCACAGTGGGGTTCACAGGCGTGCACTGGAGAGATTTCTTTTTAGACTGTCAGTTTGATTAGAAATGGTCTGTGTAGCTATCTTCTGTTGTAAAACACAGGAAATTGCTTGCATAAAAGCTCAATTACCCATGCAAATTAAGATAGATAAAGTACTATTTTTAGAACATGTTCACTCCTGCTCTCTTTGTCTTGTTTTTCCCCCTCTGCTGTGCTTGTGCCTGCACAGGCATGTTTCCCTTCCTCTTCTTGACAATGTAAGCTAAAAGGTCAGCTTTTACATAAAATAATAGAAGTCATACTACTCAAGTGTCCCCAGACACTGAGATTATTACAGTAAGCACTCATTTTCTAACTTGATCCCTAAAGGGCTGCTATTGATGAGGGGTGTGTATGTGTATGTACACACAAGCACAAATTCTGACAAGTCCAGTGCTTCCAAAGTGATGTTTATGATTTCTTCAAGAGAAAAGGAAGCATGATTTTGGTTTCATTACTTCAGTGGAGATGAAAGACACAAAATAAAAAATGGAGATGATGGCAGGCATGGTATGAAGGCTTCTGTTTGCAAGATACTTGTGCAAGATTGGAAGGATCCATATTCAAGACTCAGAAATGTGTTAGGCAAAATAAGTGCATGCCATAGTAAAATTATTTATTGTACCAGAGTCTGTTTTTTCCTAAATACCCTAGCATTGGAAATGAAGCTGTTAGGTCAAAACTGTGTTTTTTTCCTCAGTAGTATTTTGTGCTTTTAGATGAGTGTCCAACTTTATGGTACTTGATTTACATTAAACTTGTTTGCAACCATTTATTAGAGTGAAAACCGTATATATTTTCTGAAGGCCTATCACCATGGATTCTTGAATTAGTTAATATATGAGTACAGCACAGAAATCATCTTCTGTTATGGAGATTTTTTTCCCCTTATTTTCTTTTGCTAGCTACGTCAGCATTAATAAAATGTATTCTGGGGCTGTTTAGAGAAATATCAATCCTTTCAAATTGTGATTTTTTCAATGGTCATAATAAAGCTTTGTATCATTTAGTGAACACTTACATTTTCTGTCAGATATTGCCAGTTTATCTGTTGTGCTTTTTTTGAGTTAAAATCTTGTCAAAATCTAAAATGTAAAAGATGAACAGTGTCATTAAAGACTTGGGCTATGATTTGGTAGTCATCCCAAGTCCACTGTCACTCCAACTGATTGCTGGCATGATGACAGCTCTTCTCTGCTTTGCCCAGTTCTGTAAATGCCTTCCTCTAAGAAACTCATCAGAGAAGCAAGAACTTCAGCTTATTGAAAGTTTCTTCTAAAAGTAAAGGATCCTTTGCTTCCAGAGGCTAAAAGCATTGGTGTAACGTACTGCCTTAAAATGCAAAAATAGAACTCCAGAAAGAGTTGATGAAAAACCTGCAGAGCAAAAATCCTTGATATTTCTGTAGGACCACAGCGATTTCACATGAAGAAAAAAATACAAAAAGAAAGAAAGGAGAGATACAGTGTTAGAGGCAAGGTTGCTTTGCTTTGTGATCACCCTTCTCTGTGATATGTGGGACTTTGTCTTTATTCTAGCATCAACTAAAGGAAAGTCAGACCTGCCCGAGGAGCAGCCTAAGATAAAAGCAAATTTCAAGGTTATTACTTTTGCGAGTAATATTGCAAAGCAACTCAGCATTTATCACAGCTCTATTTAGAAGGTGTCAAAACTGCATTTACCCTGCTACTGCTGTTGTGTTTCAGGTAACTGGAAAATGCTCTGTTTTTAGATGACAGCAAGTGATTAAGTGTTTCACTTCATATGATGTGGGCTTGAAATACAGGCATAAGTCTTTGCAGGGCTATCTAGATTATAAAAGCAATGCCAGTGAAAACAGCAGATTAAAAAAAATGCACAGACTAGTACTCTGGATTAAAAACAAAAACAAAACAAAACAAAAACAAAACAAACAAACAAAAAAAAAAAAACAGCAAAAAACTACAAACCACCACCAGAAGAGAGAAAAGCTTTATTTTGCATTGATGCTGAAGTGTCAGTTAACATCTTGTGGTTATGAGTGTTGAAGGCTGCTGAATGCTGTGAGCAAGAACAGTCACCCACCAATTCTTTGTGATGTTGTGCCCATTTTTGAAATAAAGGGAGTCTTAGACCAATGTGAGTGATAAATTCCTCACCAGCTTGTCTTTTTCTTGAAAGTCAGTAGATTATAAACTGAATGAGAGAGCTCATTGCATTAAATGCTATTAATTTCATTAAATAATTAAGCAGCAAAGCAGCAATGGAGACCTGAGTGCCAGATGTGTCCTTCATTGGATTTCCTATCTCTAATTACTTTTCCCTTTGAATACACACTTGAATGTTTTGTTTTTTTTTTTTCCAGAGGGGAAGTCATATTCACCTAAGAAGCATTAGGGTCTGCAGCCTCTGTGACCTGATGGAGACCCGAGGTTCCGAGCTAACGTTGTTTGGGTAGATAAGTTGAATGGGTCACTGACCTCTTCAGTAGGAGACAAAATTGATATAAGTGTCAATTATACAGAGTCAAAATATGCAGAAGATGCTGTAAGATCCATTTTCTATCTATTCTTGCCTTCTAGAGAACGTGAGGATATGAAACGTCATCACATCATTATTCTTTTTCATCAGCTTCCTTTAGGAAGCGATGTGAACTGAACACAGGGCAGAATCAACATTTGTGTTCTGCATATGTTGGCTTCCTGTTTACTTTTTTTTCAGCAGCTCACTTTACTGATTCTGTTTCTCTTGTTTAAAGGAAAGAAAAGATAACATTTAGATTTAAATTTTTTTTTCTTTGTGATAAACGCGTAAAGAAATTCCTGCATCAAAGAAGGAGCTGCTTTTCAAAATGCCAAATAACTTCCAACAGTGTAATTTCCAGCAGTAATTCTGCAGAAATATAGCCTAAATTAATGGAAAGCATTTTATGCCCAAGGATGTATTTTAATACTATACTGGAGACATGTCACAGATCTAAAGGAAGGATTTTGTGTCATTGTAACAGTGGCTATGACAGAAAAGAACCGGAAAGCAAGTATTTACAGTAAATGAGATAACGTTTGTTGAAACAAGGAGTGTAAAGAAGGCAATTGTAAGTGTTCATTTTCTGAATTCCAAACAAATAGTTGAAAATGTCAGCATTCATTAAAGTGCTGTTAGCTAATCACGTATTTTTTCAACTGTAGTGGAACTGTAATAACAGGGCTGATTAAGAATACAAAGAAAGAGAGGAACCAAAACATACAAACTTCACCTTAAAATGATGCAGTGGAAAATGTCACTGGAAATCTGGCAAGCCAGGGGCTGCTGGGTTGCTTCACTCTAAATATTTTACAAAATGAAATAGCAGTTATGTAACAACAAACTGCATTGGCTGCTAGATGCGAGGCCTTCAGAACATCTGTGTTGGGCATTGCTCCATCTCAAGATGGAGTGGTTCCTGCCTGCCAAGCAGAACTGGTGAGGAAGTTGGGAGTTGTCCTGATTGTGATAATTGAGGTGTTTTAACCTTCCTTGGAGGAGCATATGTTGGTTGTATATTGTTCAAATCTGATGCTCTGTGCAAATGTAGCATTAAATCTGTTCAGCCATATCATTTTGTTGTATTTTTTCTTTAGTATTATTATGCTAAGGTCAAATAAATATATTGTTCGACATGTAGTATAGGAACTTGTGCTAAAAAAAATAAAGCCATTTTCTCAGCTGTCTGATAGTGGTCATTGGGCTTAACAAGTTTGGTCTCTCTCTGATAAAACAGCAAATTTCAAGCATGGGTGGCAAAGCTCTCCTTGTTGGCCCGAGGAATGGGGTGGGCAACATAACCCTGCTGTTTTTCCTTTATTATTTTTGGCTGTAAAATTAAATTGCAGTAACTGAAAATAAGCACCATTTATTGTTGTACTGTGGCAGGGGTGCTTATTGATCTCCTCTGATGGTAGAGGTTGTTCCCATGTATTTCCATTTGTTCACAGTTGGGAACTGAAAAAGAACAGTCAGTTGCTCTGCAGCCTGTGTAAAATGTGCATTTCTTTGAATAGCTGTGTTTATTCTAATTTATTTCAGATATGGTCCTGATGTACTTAGTTATCTGTATAAATAATAACATTTATTCTGCTGTTTGTATGTATTTTTATATTCCCTGATAGTTTCTACACTTGCTTGTACCTATGTAGCGTCTCCAGTCTCTTCTCTGGTGAATATAAGGAAGCTGATTTGAGAACAAAAAATTTAACTGTAGTTTTCAGTAGACAAAAACCTACATATCTCAGAGAACTGTAATTGCCACAATCCATCATTGTGCTACATGTGCTAGAAATGAAGTAGTTTCATATCATGCCACAGAGGTACCAGCAATTTTCACCAACTGATAACATGGGATGTTGCAAAGTTGTTCCAATCAGACAGTATGCAAAATGGAGCAGATGGGCTGTAACAGCTGTAATGGTTGAAGGTTGTTTTGCTCGATTAATGTTCACCACCAAGCTTGTCAGCATAGACCCTGTGGCTGATCTTGTGAATAAGCTGTGCCCGTGTTACTACATGACTTGAGAAGCCAGTAAGAAAAAGCCAAGGAATGCTTTTCCTGTAATGTTTTGTTTTGGAAGTGAATGTGTGGTGGTTCCTACTGTATGATATATACACTCAGTGTTTCAGCTCAGCAGAAAAGGTGATAAGTCCAGCTGGGAACACTTTGAACCTCTGTAGGAAAGGCAAGTAATGCAGTTCTTGCCAGTCTTTTTTTTAGTTCCCGCTCATTTCTAGGCCAAGCAGGGTCATTAATTTTAAGGCTGGGAGTAAGAAAGGCAGGAAAGAGATGTGTTGCCCTGGAAGATTAACTTTGTTATGCATAGAGAGTACTTTATATAAGTTTTCAGCCACTATGCTTATGTAAAGTTTTAGGCTTTGTTATCCATCATATACTCTCTAATATACTTTAAACTATATTCTGTGTGATCAGTTCTTCATTACTCGATATGCATTTTTAATGCATAAAAATACCTTTGAATACTTTTGAATGATAAGTGGTCATCTTTAGGATTATTTCATTTTTTTTTTGTTTTTTGTTTTTTTTGTTTTTGTTTTTGTTTTTTTTTTTTTAGAGCATTAATATTTTGGAACGGAAGGCTTCTTCGGGAAGCACAGACCCTTCCTTAAGCAAGCAGTTCCTTGAAACAGACCCTATCTCTCTGTCCAAGGTAAGCAAGAGTACAGGCTGGGATGCAGGCACTGTTTCTCCTTCTGTTCTTACAGTGTAGTTTGACTAAGCTTCAGGCTATTGGTTTTTATGGTTCTGCCACTGAATGCATTTTGAGCCTATTTGCTGCCTTAGGTGTCAGGGAGGCTAGTAATCTTTATTAGATTTTGTATTAACAAAATTAAGGATTTGGGTGGTTGCGGAGATGGTTTTTTCCGCCATTCTGTGAATGTCTCCCAGGAGCAAGACCAACTATCTCAGAATATGGAGCTAGAAGAGGCTTTGAGCAATGTTCCAGTCCAATCAGAAAAAATAACAACAACCATATCCATGTCCCAAAGCACTACTAATCAATATGATATTGATTAAAAATACATAGAACTTTCCTCCTAATTGTAATTTTTGAGGTGGTCTCTTGAAGCTTGAAACCGTTGCTGAGCTCTTCAGTAGAACCGTAGAGGTAACAGCACCAGTTCCTGAATGATGCACCCTCACATGCAGTGCTTTGTAGTTGGTGTCCTCTGGGCTGAATTCCTGAAATCTGAAAGGGCTGATTCTAAATAAGTCCAATTCTGATTAAAGAAGGCTTCATTTTAAGTTACTTCATATAAAAAAGCAAGTTTGTTTCTTAAAAGGTGAGGGTGCTGTGATAGAATACTTGGCAGAAAATAAAAACTGAAATTAAATATCTGTAACTTGTGATACTTGAGAAAACATATTCAACATGAAGCATGCTATTCAACTATGTAAAAGTGAAATTGCCCTGTCTTATTTGGGAAAACAAACAAACAAACAAAAACAACAAAAAAGTCCCTTCTTGCCAGTATCTGGGGCATGTGCAGAGTTAGGCCTGTAAGATCTGCCTGTGTTCCCTGATCCTGCTGCTCCGTGCAGAGCTGCTGTTCACTTAATGTGCTATAACCATAGAAGTCCTGAAATGGCAAAGCTGTGCTTTGAATGATCCGGTATCAGGTGAGGAACCTTTGTTGTCACTCTGTTTTCCCCTTTCTGGCTGCTCTTGCAGTAGAATGCTCTGTGGCACAGTGTACCTCATACTTGGCACATCTCATCATAATAAACGTGAATGAAGTGAGCTGCAGTTAGGATGGTTAGGGGTGGCTATATAACAGCTTGTGGCACTGGTGCAGCAAAAGGCAGCTAATGGTTATTGCACTGAATAATGGCTTATTATGTCTTCCTGTATCTGGCCTTTCGGTTAAATAAATAGCGCTATGAGATTGTGTGATTTCTGGTTGAGAAGTAATCAATACTGATGTTATCTGGTAGATAAAAGACTTATGCCCACAGCTGATTTTCTAAAGGAAAAATCAATATCAGGAGTCAGTTGGCAGAGTAGAGGAGAGATCCTCTGCTTGCCCCAGGGGACTCATAGTTTAATTTCCCCCCTTAAGAGCCAAGTGCTTCATGGGGAAAAAATAATGCAAATGTACTTCCTGCTGAGTAATGGAAATAGAATATCATCTCAAAACACAGTGAAATCAAAGTGATGGTTTTTGAACTGTGTTTACTGGCCCCGTGATAGTTTCAATTTGCAGTTATACAGGGGATGTTAAACAGAGCTAAAATTTTTATTAAAACTTACAGCAGTAAGTGTTACTTAGGACAGAATTTTTCATCCTAGTTAGACTAGCAACTTCTTATTCAGGTTTGTAAACATAAAGTTTGGTGTTATATTTATAATCATATTTTCACAATAGTGACATTGGTGGTATTGAAGCTCTGTAACACAGGCAGGGCTGATGGTTTTTGGCTGTGAGCAGGTTCATGGGAAAAGGAGGGAAGAATTTCTGTTTCTCTTCAAATGTTTGATGACCCCTTCCCTCTTGCAGTCGCTTTACGTATTATGAATGAGAGTTGTGACAGCTGAGAAAATGCTAGTTTGCAACATTTGTTGATTACGATAGCAGTAAGGGATGTGAATAAAGGCATGACTTTCTCACTGAAAGCGTTGTCCTGTAGCTGTTCACTATGATGTTTCACAACTCAGACCTGAGTTGTGGAAGTGGTCATGCATAACAAGCTCTGTGTGCAAGGAATGTGCTTGGCTCTCAGAAAGGTCTATACAGCTGGTTGTGTGTGAAACAATGCAGCTCATATTCTTTTCTCGAGAGAAAATTAGTTAGCTTCCCACAGCTTTTCCCTTAATGTATTGAAAATGAATGACAAGAAACTTTGATAAAGTTTAATTTCCTTTTATGTATTTCTTAAGGTGCAAATAGCCTCTGCAACTCTGCTTCATAAACTGCCACTGAAGACCAACCACAAGTCAACCTCTTCTGCTTGAACTTCAGATTTTAAGGAAAATTAGGAGTATCCAAAATCAGTGCAGATTGTATGCTAGAGATAAGAAAGCTTACATATTCTTATGATCAGGGCATAGTACAAAGTACACTGTTAATATATTCCCATGTATTTAACAGTAAGATATCTACGTTTCATCTCATGATCTCACTGTTTTTAGAGGAGCGCTCTGAGTAAAGTTAAGTTTTGAACATGCAAATTCTGCCCATGCTCCAATTACAACATCCGTTGAATCTTTTTAGCTCTTAATATGCAGAGATAATCTTTGTTTTGTGCTACAGAATTTGTGCTGCGTATAAATGCATCATGTGTTCGAACAGTTATTAATCAATGTGTTCATGCTTTTTCACCAGGAACCTGACAGTTGGGAAATCATAGAGGGTCTGAAAATTGGCCATACTCATGTACAGAAGCCAGACAAACATGAAGGCTTCATGCTGAAAAAGAGAAAATGGCCCTTAAAAGGTTGGCACAAGGTAAAGTTCTCATAAAACGGTCAAAGGATTATTGCTTCCTTTCACGGTTTGAAATTTTTTGCCTAGAGAAAATACAATGGAGGATGACTGACAAATAAAAACCCAGAATTTTGGTGAATGACTTTATCTTCAGAGTGTACAAAGAATTAGTCTGCACACACAGCTTTGTGGCTTCAACGTTGCAGGGCTGGCTGTGTAATGTTATATTCAAAATCCAGGCAGACAGTGTAAATAATACAGTAGATGCCTTGTGTTTTAAGAGGTTTAGCCAATATTGCTTTCATTCTTCTGAATACATTATAACAAAATATAGCTGTGCAGTGTAAGTTTGAATTGAGTTTACATGGAAGCAGCCAAGACTCTATAAGAGCCGAGTAGGGTTTGGTGTGGACCAAGGAGTTCTTACTGGAGAGCATCCCCTGAAGTACTTTTCCCTTCAGCCTTCGTGGCTGGGCAGATTTGCTCATCCCTGTCCCTGAATTGTTTGTCAGTGTGTCTGTAATCTTCTTTGTGGACATGAAGCATGACTATTTAACAAAGCACCATCACAAACGCCAACAGCAACAAAATAAAACAGAAAAAAACCCAACCCCTGAATCTTCTATTTCTGTTTAGTTAATGTGGAGACATTTCTTTATGAACATTTACTTTTTGTTAGCCCTAAACCCAGTGTTCATTATGTCTTCTGCCTGTATTTTATAGCATAATAATTGCACTTCTTTTGAATTCTCTGTTAACAAGATTTGGTTATTGATGCCTACCTGTATTTTGCACATTGGAGTAGATCAAGAACAGTCATTTTCTAGGACACAGCATTGTATTGTGAAGAATAGTGAAACCTACTTTTATAAATGGCTTTTTTTATTCCTAGTAAAATATTAACTTAGATTTTTTTAATGCAATTTAGGTCTGTGTTCATATTCACACTGTATTAGTATAAAACACAGTTTTTCTAATTTCTCTGTTCTTTGTGAATTTTATACTAATGTGTCCACATGCTGAATTATCAGTACAAGATTTTTACCTGTCTGCTTCTCTTTTATTTTTTTCTGCTGACCTATCAACCTTATTTTGTTTTGGTTTTGTTTTACTTAGCTAGAATTTAGCTAGAATTTCTGTAACAGTACTTTGTGCTGAGAGCACAGCAAGGAGTTCCAGAGACAGTACAATCCACAGTGGTTGTACTGTATGCTGTTAGTGACCTGACAGCAAAGCCGTGGAATCCTCTGCCTGTTGAACAGTGTATGTAAAATTCTGATGGCTCTCAGTGTGCTTTATTAGCATACCAGTTACAACATGTACAACTTATGTAGTAGTTCATCTGCTTCTGAAATGCTGTATGCTCTGAAATGTGATGTGATAAAAGGTCATTGGTATATGGAGCCTACAGAAGCAGAAAAATAGGGAATTAACACTGTGTTCTTCTTTAGTCCATTGATGACCATACGTAGTAAAACTAAAACTTCACAACCTGTTGTTTTGACATCTTATTTGAGAAGCTACACTTCCAGCAAATGTGGAATTTTATTGCCCTGTGTCAGACCTTGGTACCATTGGTTGTGCATCTGACATTGTTTCCATAGGCATCTTTAGGAAATATTTTCTGCCGTGCAAGTACAGACCCTGCTCATAATGTCAGTTCAACAGGTTCGTGTCAGGCAAATGTGATCCTTCTCTTCCGTATCAGACAGCTTAAAGAGTCTTGTGTAATAACTTGCTGTGTTCCAGATCATTAACATAAATTAGTGCTTTAGGGTAGGCTCTGAAAATATCAAGTAATTTGTATTACTTGCATGTTGATAACACAAGTTAGTGAATCTCAGTAAACATCTACATTTCCTGCCAGGCTGCATCTTTATGCTGTGTGCCAAATGCTGTGCTAACTTGTCTGCAATGCAGCTAGAGCCGTCTAGTATTCACAAGCTACAGCAGCTTTAATTGTTGGAGAAGCATGGTGAATTGAGGATTCTGCTCTCTGCTGTAGGGAAAAGCTGCTCAGAAAAATAAAGGTGTAGCACTTGTGCAGATAGGCATTGTCATGTTAGCTTCAATTTGCCTATTCCTTGTAGCTGCACCAATGAAGATACAGTGACTCGCTCCGTATCACTTGCAAATATACCAAACACAAACCCTCCAATGACCAGGGTCTGTTGCTGGTAATACTGTAATATTTCCACTTGTACTACTGCAGCTAGCTTACATACAGAAAAAGTATAAGGAGCATGAATCACAGCTTCATCTTTACTTCACTGTACGAAGGTCTGCTGTGAGTGCAAAGTTTTGGATGGTAGAGCTGTGTCTCACAGCTTGCATCACTTCCCAGCTGGAGTCCACAGGAGACCACAGGAGTACCCATCTGTGGGTCTTCCTTCCAGGATGTAGATCTTGCACTAGGAAAAGCTTGTCAGCTTCTGGATAGGGAGGACAAGCAGTTATGTTGAAACATGACCATCTTATTTGGGAAGAAAACAGGAGGAAAACAATGAAAAAGACTTATCTCTTTCTGCCTATGTTGTCTTTCTAGTAGACCTTACTGAATTGGCTGGAAAACAGAAAAAATGTCCTTAATTAGTAACGTTCCTAAAGTTCAACATAGAGTATACTGTTGGAAACAGAATCTAGGTTTTCACACTTAAAAGATAATTGTTATCAAAGAGGAAAGAAAAAATTTGCTACCATACTTATGCTCTTTCCAACCTGTAAACAGTCCTTAGTTGTTACAAAGTTGTTTTCATTTGTAGGTAAATTATCATGCACAGTTAAATTGCATCTGATCATTAAGAAAAAAAAATCTTTTTTTTCCACTTTCAGAGGTTTTTCGTCCTGGATAATGGACTATTAAAATATTCAAAGTCACCAATTGATGTAAGTAAAGCTGAAGACTATTTTAAAATTTGTTAGAATTCAACCTGCTCATTCTCATACTAGGCACCTTTATCACAAGCGTACACATGAAAGTTGTTGGTGGATTCAAAGAGAGATTTGAATATGGAAAGCATGTAAGATTTAGGTTGTTATATTCCCCCAGATTCTGCCTTTTGTTACTTCAGTAAAAATAGAAATTAACTTTAGAAGTTAAAATAGAAGTTAACTTAATGAAGATATTTGAAAGATTAGCCTGAGCATATATTGTACCTTTTTAATGTTGATGTCAGGGAGAGCTGATTATTTTGAGGTATAGGATTATTTTGAGGTGGATAGGACAGAAAAGCGATTATGATGCACTTGAGATATAAGGGGTAGTATTAAATTAGACACCAATAACCATCAAGCTGTATCAGCAGGGAGCTAAGTGCTGTCTAATTTTCTCAGCTTCTCACTTAACCTGTAGTTACATGCTAGTGTGAACCATCACACTTTTCATTTGGAATTGGCTCTGCAGTTGTGAGATATTTTTCTCATCTATAAAAGGAGGAAGTTTTTAGTTTGAATACAGGTTTTAACTTTTATGCATCTTTATGTAAGATATTCCTAAAAGCAGGAAACATTTCAGCACCAGGTATTTTGCTGTTAATTATAATGAAATACATGATACTACCAATTTTGTACTCTGCTTTTGGTTTCAGATACAGAAGGGCAAAGTACATGGAAGCATTGATGTAGGCTTATCAGTTATGTCCATTAAGAAGAAGGCTCGCAGAATAGATCTTGATACGGAAGAGCACATTTATCATTTGAAGGTGATACATCAAATATATATTCTCTTTTCATCCACAGTGGAAATACATAATAGTAATTAGGAAAAATCTGCTGTGGGAGAAAGAGTGTTATTTTGAATGCTTCTTTATAATGAGTTACTTTGTAGGTGAAGTCCCAGGATACATTTGATGCATGGGTTTCAAAATTACGCCACCACCGGCTGTACCGTCAGAATGAGATTGTGAGATCTCCGAGAGATGCCAGCTTCCATATATTCCCCTCAGCCTCTACTACAGAGTCTTCACCAGCTGCTAATGTACCAGATGGAAAGGTACGTTGTGTCCTTTTGTTGGAAACTCATGCCTGCTGCACTTGTTCATGGGCAAGCCTGAATTTCAGTGGGCTCTGCTTGGAGTGCCAGTAGAGAAGAGTTTTCATTGGAGGAACTGATAGCCAGCAAAAAGCTGGGAGTAGCTTTCATTAATGGGCTGCTGTAGAAATTGTGCACAGAACTCATTGTCTTCAGAAGAATTTGCTCTGGCTTTTTGCATCTGAGATAAATCTGTCTGTTGTTCTGTAGTTTTCTTCCTCTTTAACAACAACTTCTGTAAGTGGTGTTTAGCAAACATAGTTTGTGAGGTCCTTGGTTTGATTCTCCAACATACTGTGCAGAAATACCTGTGTTATGGGCGACTACATAGCCAAATCACAGATGTCACTGAAATCACAATGTGTACTTTTTTTTTTTATCTCAAAAAATATGGTGATTACACTGAGCAACACATGCAACAATAAGTGTAAGCATTTTATTATACCTTAGGTACAACAAAATAGCTTCCCATGGCAATCTCCTATACCTTGCAGTAACAGCCTTCCTGCAACCTGCACTACTGGGCAGAGTAAAGTAGCAGCCTGGTTGCAGGACTCTGAAGAGATGGACAGATGTGCAGAAGGTTAGTCTTTACCATTTTGTGCCTTGCTCTTTTAGCAAAATGTCTTGTTGGTAAGAAATAACATACAGTCAATGGAAGTGGTTAAGTAGCATCTTTACATGCCTATGAGGAGCTCTTTAGGTAATAAACTAGATGCTTGTAGTAGGAACTTCCTTCTTAGCTTGTGTTATGATGTTGCTTTTAAATTAAAAAAAAGTATTATCTTAATGGATATCATTATTAAAGTATGCTTAAGTTTTAAGGTCCAATCTTGTTGCTGACTGCCATAGAAATAACAAGTGCTCAGCATCTCAGACAATAAGGCTACTACTTAGGTGCTTTACTATTGGATTTGAGGCATTTGACTTTTGTCGTACAATAAAATGCCAGTGGTGAACATTATGGCAAAGAAAATATCTGAACTGAAGCACCTAATGTTTTTTTTTTTCTTTTATATGTTTTAGATCTTGCTCATTGTCAGTCAAACCTTGTGGAACTCAGTAAACTTCTTCAAAATTTAGAAATACTACAGAGAACTCAGTCTGCACCAAATTTCACAGACATGCAGGTAATTCTGTTTGATAATAAATAATCATGCTGAAGCATTTGTTGGTTGCGTTAAAGGTATTGTAAATATGCTCTCTATTAACTTAAAATTGATTTTCTGAAATTGTAGTAACTCTTAAATGAAAGGCTTAATCGTGTTTATCTTAATCATGTTTAATAGTGTTTAGTGTAAATGGATAAGATGTATTAAGATAATTTGAGTTAAATAGGAAGGATCGAATAATTAAGTCATTTGCAAAAGCAGAACTAAGAACCATTACAATAGAATTATATGTACACACTGAAATTACACTTAAGGAGCTGTTACTGTGCTCAGTAAGATACTATTTTAAGTTTTTAAGGAGTGCAGTTTCATACCTTCAAGGTGGGGAGGACATTCTATGTTCTAGAGAAGAGGGCATAGTCACAAAGGCTCAAGGCACTGGACCATTTCCCACTTCATGGTGAGTCGTCTGCTTGACCACAGGAAAGCAACAGCAGATTTTAAATCTTAAATACTTTCTTCCTTTTTCACTCAGGCCACTTGACTTTTGAAGTCTCCCAGTGGTGTTTTTGTGTTGAAAAGACCTAGTTCCAATGAGGAGACTTACCATTTCAGGAAGAGCTGAGCATTTCTCTGATACTGAGAAAATAGAAATCCATAAGGATTTCAAAATCTGTTCCTAAATGTTGTGCGCTGTGAAGACAGTGTACCAATTGTTGTGCTAAATGAGTTGAACACACCTTTTTTTTTTTTTTTTTTTTATAGTAGTGGCATAGGTGTCCACAGTTGGTCACTGCTGTAGTTGCAGGTCATGGCAGTAGCGTTCTTTTCTTCACTTTCTTATTTATCAATGTCTAACACTACAATTCTTTACTAACTTGTCTGTATTGCTTGTGTCAACTTAATAGTACCTTGTTGCTTTTAACTATTTGTGCAATGTAGGCTAACTGTGTAGATATTTCAAAGAAAGACAAGCGGGTCACAAGACGATGGAGAACAAAAAGTGTCAGCAAAGATGCAAAAATTCAACTTCAGGTACTGAATCCACAATGTTTTCCTTTTCACTGTACTTTTAGATTAACTTTTAAGCATGAACTGATATATTAACTGAAAGTAGTAATTCAATGTACTGTCTCTTATGTTCCTGATGATGCAAATTAAATCTCAATTGGTTGTTTAAAACCTAGACAAGATAGTGAAAAATGTATTGATTTTACTTTCATATGAAAACATTGCCATCTAGGGAAAGGAAGAGAGGCTGAACACTAGTCAGTTAAGGTGCAAAAAAGACGATATGCATGCAGCACACAAAGATTCTGGTATTTCCATCTTAAACTAGAAGTAAACTAGACTAGTAGAGAGGGACAGTTGAGCAGGTGACATCAAACTAAGAGCAGAAAACATGAATGAAATAATAACGTGCCAGTTGCCTTTGTCAAAACCTGTACTAGGAATGTTACCAGTGAGCCCTATCTTATGAAACGGGCTACTATGGAAACAAATTGAATTAAACCAAAGAATAAATCATATGGGAAAAAAATAACAACTGACATAATCCTGCCTTAGATCTGAAAAGAAAAAGCACAGAAATAAGCATAGAAAACCGTATGTCACTTCTGGATCGAGGGAATCTTGCTGTGTTTTGTCAGAAATAGCTGCGTTATTTGAAGCCTAATCCAAAAACTGCTTTATTTTTATAACTGAGCAACTATTAATGAAGACTGTACTTCACAGACTTCAGGAGCTAACAGCTACCACTGTGCTGTCTGCTGTGGAATAAATATGTCAGCAACTTCTGATTAATTTAAATTCTTTGAAATTCATGCAGACTTGTAAAACCTTTACTATGTTCCTCAGAGACATAATAAGGAATTTCTGTGACTCAGAAACACAGTAAGAAGTTCTCTGTGACTCGTTTAAGACTGACATTCTTAAGGAAGGAAGACTGTAAGGAAAGAAACTTGGATTGCAGCTGTAGTAGGTGACTTTTCTTTCTACCTGTTATTCTAGATTAAGGACAACATGCTGAACCAAGAAATATCTGTTAGGTGTAAAAAGCTTTATTAACAAGGGAATTTTGGTGGTTGATGTCATACCCTATTACCTGCATGTGGAAGATCACTGTGTTTCCTTGTTGCTGAATAACGGTAGGCTACTAAAAAATACCAGGGAAATGGATGCAAGCATTTTTGGAAAGGCAGAGGCAAAACCCACGTTCTTCTTTCATACCACAGTGGTCTAGAGAAACTTCAGTAAAAAAAGAAAAGTATAAATTATTAAGGCAACAATATGTGATGATCTAGGATCACAAGGAATTGTGAGCTATACCTGAGTTGCCTGTGCCCTGTCAAAGTGACACTGTGCTGGGCTTCCTGTGGGAGACTCAGTTTGGCACCTGATTCTCAGGATGCTGTTGGTGCTATGGGTCACTTTGCAGATTCCTCTGAGAGTTTGTATACATAGCACTGCTCTACTTTCATCTGCCATTGCTGGAGAGATAGTGAATTCTGCTTAACTTGGGGCAGCTTTGACTCCTGACAAGTGTAGGGCTGGAAAATAAAAAGCTTATTTTATTGGAGCAAAGCATTAAATGATTGATGACTGACTGACAAATTAACTTGCAGGAAGACAGAAACAACAAAACAATTCTAAATTATGTACAGGATGAAAATTATTATTTTTTTTTTTTTGGCTGTTCTATTATCTTAACTAACTTGATTGGCTCGGTACACTCTTTTAAATTCCAAGGACTATTCTGTCCCAGGAATGGTCTGAAGCTGTGCTCTGTGGAAGATGGTCTCATTCTGACTCTTGTGTTGATCATAATTTGCTCATGCAGCTATTCCACTGGATTTCCTCATAGGTTGAAGTTTTTTTAAGCTTGCTCTCCTGTGGTGTTTTTCTACTAACCATTTTTTCTAGCTTCTTTCCATATAGGTAATTTTTTCAAGATTACTCCAACACTTTATAAACTATTATCCATTGCTTTGAATCACTGTCTAATTTGTGATCATTTCTTCACAGATAGTACACGTGATTTGCTATTAAATAGTTGAGAGATTTGATGCCGAAAAAACTTTTGTTGCCGTATTCCTTTCCCCTTTCTTCCATAAGTATCATTAGTTTTTTGGGATAACATACAACATACTAACATATAAAATAACAACATACTAACTTCCAGCTAGATGGACTATTAATTCCATTTGAAATATACGCACCAATTGATTGTAGAATAAGGAATTATTAATTACCAAAAAAGGACCTTTTGCAGTATGAGATTGAGAGCCAGAGAGCATGAAAATGAGGTGTTCTGTTCACAAATAGCAGGGAAAAATGCTGTAATTTTTGCTAGCTCTGTGTCCACTGTGTAAGATGCAATGAGAAAATTCTCCCATCTAATGTCTATTGTAGTCAAAATGAGTTAGTAAGATAGCTTTTGTGTGCCTGCTAATGCATTCCTAGAATATGAGTGCAAGGTGTATAAAGAGTTTTAAATGTACCTCTTATGGTGAGGACAAGTTTGTCTAGTTGCTTCTACTTGCTTTGTTTCTTAGAAACGTTTATTTGCCATTTAAGTATACCAGTCCTGTATGCACGTAACTTTGCTTACTGTGGTTAATTCCGTGATAAAAGTGGGGCTGCTTCACTGAGAAAAATTAATCATAGCATGTATATATGTGCTTTTTAGAATTGGGAATTTAGTTTTGCTGAATTAACAGCTTAATTTACAAGCCTTTTCTCAGGAGAAAAACACTTGGGTTGTTTCTCTGAAGAAGGGTTGCTTATATAAGGGAGGTTTACTTTATTTTTTAGAAGTCTATTTTAAAAAGTCTTAAGGTAATTTACAACAACAGCTTAATCAGTCTGCATTCATTCTTTTCTACAAAAACTGATTTTTGGTTGAAGAACAATTTTACATTCCCATGATTGTCAAAGATCTTGAAGAAAAAAATAGTACTGAACAGCAGCAAAATGAACCATCATTGATATAATTTCTTTCAGTGCTCAGAGAAGTACTTAGTCAAGGGTAGATGGAAGGAGAATTTTTTTTTTTTTTTTTTTAGCATAATTATTTAGTACAGAATGATTTGAAAAGTCAGCTTGTTCTGCTGAGGTTTCCAGATCATGAATTAAACCTGGTTTATTACTCTTTGCATTAAATAAGTACTTAGTGACATGTTATTAATTGTAACTTAGATAATTACTTGGCTTTATGTTGTGCTTGGGGGTGGTGCTTCTGTGGAACTCCTTGTTTCAATTTTAGTAATGTCTACCTGCATTCAGAATCTTGCAGTTTTTGAGTGCTAAATATATACATTTGTGCGTCTCTATGTACATGTATGTATAAATTTGTCTCTATTAGTTGAACAGTAATAGTGTGTTCAGAACTCTCATTCAGAGTGTAGACATACTTTTGTAGAGCACAAAGAGCTTTAAATTCTGCCCCTCCTAATAAGCTACATTATACTGTTCTTCACCATGATGTCCTAGTGTCTGAGTACCATTGCTATTCCTTTGATATCCAAGTTGCTTTCAGAAAGAGAAAAATGTATATGAATTTAAAACACTGAAATGGCTATAAATGCATATATAGATTAAGAAGAATGTAAAGGAATTGAAAATGTTTTTCTATAATAATAATAAGGTGGCTTTTTTAGTGTTACAAATTCATCCAAATACTTCAAAACAGTGATATGATGTTAGGCATTAAGTAGAAGGGCTTTGTGGTAAGCATGGAGCTGTTCTGCATCATGCCGACTTCATGCAGCACATACACAACTTTGATGTACCATGATGGATTTTGTTATAAGTAATGTAAAAATGAAGTTATGCAGGATGAAGCCGTATGTTAGGCATGCAAAAAACACAGTTGTTGGAACACCTAGTTTTTGTTTGTGCTACTCTGTCTGAGATTTTGAACTGCTTTGAAAGCTAATTCTTCAGTAATGTATAGAATGAGAAATAGGATCTTACAGAACACAAAAGGATGGTATGTAGTGAAAATGAAACACAAGCCCAAGTATGGACAGAGAAATGCCAGAAATGTGCACAGGAGTATTTATATAAGGAAGCTCCCTATAATGCACACACTCACATGTTTTACTATTGAGATGCGTGCATCTTCGGTAGCCACAGTTGATGCACTTCCACAAATGCCAAGTGATCTCTTTCAGAATTCATCTTCTAGGTGGTGAAGTGAAGGAGTTTTTGTTTTAAGTTTTCTTCCATGCCATAGCATCTGTTTTGTTTTCTTATTCCATAATTGCATAATGACTCTGAATAGCAAAGCTAATAGAATTAATTTTTCTTTTTTTTGTCCACTGCAGTCCAACTCTTCTGGAGATAACATTAGCGAAGTACCTAGCTATATAAGTCTCTGGCATACACAGGTGAGAACATATGATATGTTCTCAAAATGTGTAGGACGTAAGAGTTAACAAAATTGAAATCCACTTAAAGACTCTCCCTCTCCCTTTTCTGATCACCTTTCATCTTCCTCTGTCCATCACCCCTTCCCTTCTCTTTCTCTACTTCCTTCTCTTCTTGCATTCACTGTCAGGAAGGGCCGGCACCGAAGGGCCAGTTCAGCACAACACGACGCCGGCAGAGACTAGCAGCTGCAGTGGCTACAACAGTGAGTGGATTTAAAAATCAAGGCATAGCTTGAAAGACGGGAAGCTGTGTAACTTGAATGCGTAATAAGCTTAAGAAGCTGGTTCTTGCACTTTATGGAGGTGTCCATGCTACCCATTCTGAGCTAAGTCACTTAAAAGTGATCAGGCCTGATACAAGTGGGTATCACAGTTGGGGTTCTGAGCTTGTTTTCATGGTAATGTACCTCTTTCTTTATGCAGTTGCAAGTGACGAACAGACTCGGGCCTTGCACTGTTTGAAAATAGCTTTATTATTTATTGAATATAGCTTATATTATTTAAAATGGACTGAAATGATCACATTTTGTTAAAAGATTCTCATAACGGTCTATAGAAAGACAGTGAAAATGAGATTTGCCACAAACAAACAAGAAATGATGACACTTCCTGGTGGTTTTTTTTTGGTTTTTTTTGGGGGGTTTTTTTTTAGTAATGTAAGATTAGCCTTTTCATTTAAGGTACTTTGATTACATTCCATGATCCAAAAAAGTCATATTACTATTGCTAATGTCGGTTTTTCATTTTTGCTAATTCTCCAAGCCTTTGACACACAATTTGGAGCTCTGAAATCAACATGCAGGCTACTAACTGGGAGTGGGTGATGCTATTTATGAAACTAAATTAGCATCGTAAGTATACCTTCAGCTGCTGATTTGTTAGGAAAGCAATTATTAGGAATGCACAATATAGATTAGTCCCTCAAAGGATTAGTGAAACAGATGGGGAAGACATAAAGATATAGGAAAAAAAGAGCTCTGTGCAACTGAAGAATAAAATGAGCTTTAAACACATACCTCTACCTAGCTCAGTCAGTCAACATCAAGCTAAAGTTTTCGGAGGTGTGCTGCTCCAGCCTATAGCTGAAATCCACTAGCTCAGATGTAGCTTCTGCTTAAGCCTGAATAACTTGAGCCCTGTTGCCAGAACCATGAACCTCATTTACTATTAGGTCGTCCTGAAAAACGAGAGAAATCAGTGCTCCTCCAGTACCCAAAATAACTTCTCTAAACTTAATCCCTTGTAATCAGTTGAAGCCATGTATAGATGCAAAATATCAGTCAAATATTGATTGGGTGATCTTATCTTCTCTGCTTTTGTAGCAAAGAAGTAAACCCCCATCTCAGTTTGCTGTTTCTATAGTCTGGAAGATACAGAATTACATCAGGTAAAATGCAGAAGGGAGAGGCTTGTGTTACAAGCCACTGTACTGGGAACAGTCTGTCTCTATGTGAGCATGCAGTTCTGAAGAGGCTGATGAATGAGTGTTATTTCACCCTTGGAATAAATCAGAAAGTCAGGACGTGGTGTACCTGAAATCATGTCTTCAAAAATGAGGAAGAAAAACTAGAGGGATGCATCAAGAAACTATGTACTTAAAAAGATAGAAAAACTAATAGGTAATCAAGGCAGCATCAGACCACCATGAGTGTAAAGAGAAAGCACTACAATGAGAGAAGAAAAAAAGGGAAGAGAGGTTCATGGGCACTGCTTCTTAGATAGATGGTTCTTCAAGAAAATGAGTTTGTTTGCTGTTGTTTTTTTTTTTTTTGTTTTTTTTTTTCCATTGTTTGTGAAGAGTAACTTGGAAATTCTTCCAAGATGCAGATGAGGAGAGTTCATATCAGTCAACAGTTAATTATTTTTGGTTCATGTATCTAAAGCAGTCAGCAAAGCAGCTACTTGTCTCTGACATGTCAGTGTGTGTTTCTTGCAAGCGGTGTGATGGTAATTGTAGAGCATATGAATGCTGTTTCTAGGACTGAAAATAAAATGTTCTTTTTTTCAATAAACTTCACTGGAAAACATTGCTTTTCAGCCTGGCCAGCTGAGGTATGAGGCAGCAATGCTGTCTCTAGAAGGAATTTATTCTACATCCCTGTTAACAAAATCTTGATATGAGTCAAAAAGGAAGTAAAAAAAAAAAAACAAACAAAAACAAAAACTACTTTGTTGTATAAATAGAAATCAAAACAATGAGAGAAGAGGATAAAGTTTACACTGGTTAGGTGCTGTGAAACGGTTAGTCTGTGTTATATGTATGTGGAAATTGAAGGACAAGGTCGAAAATGGTATTGCCGGAATGTGCTCAAGGTGTGGTTAATAGGTCCAGGAGGATTTTAAGGGGGAAACCTAAGATGGCTATTGGTGACAAATGTTATAGGAAGGGATTGGTAGAACTATTCTTTAGTGTAATCAAATAACAAGGTAACAATTTCAGATACTGATGGCAGTATTTAACTTATCTGTTGATGTAAAAAAAAAAAAATATATATATATATATATATATGTATCTTAGTAATATGATTTTATTTTATCTGCTACTCTTAATCATGTCTCGGAAGACACTTTTTTATCCTCCATTTTTCATATTTGAATAATTACATTGGGCTGCAGAGTGGAAGTTTTTGATTTATACATTTGGTCAATATGATAAACTTGAATTTGTTTAACAATGCTTAATACTGAAGTAAAAAGATGTAGTTCTGCATGCATTCCCCTTTCATTTAGTTTTGAAAATTAGGTTCTTGACTGGATTTTTATACAAATATATGCAAATGGTAAAATAAAAACGCACTGTCACGCACACACGTCACATGTAAAGCAGCATACATACATTGCTTATGGAACATATAGGTAACTATTCAGTACACGTGATATATTTATATGTAAAACTTATAAATAAGGTACGCACTTATATTTTTGTTTACTGTACTGGAAACTATAGAAGGAAAAAAGTGAAAACTAATAAATGGAAGTCTTTACTGCATTTTACTTAACTGCATCTCTGTGCATTAATTTGTGGCTCTTGTACTTCAAATGAAAATTAAGTGAACATTTGTGGTTTTTTTTTATTATTTCATAGAAAATGGAAAGACCACATGATTTTCCCTTTTCATTGTTGCGTGTACAGTGGTTTCTACTTCAGGTGTAACAGTGGTTTTCGGATTGATAGGGAGATTAATTTTCCATGATACATTTGAGAATAGTATCCTATCTCTAGTCTGTGGAGGAACTTTTATGCTGGTACTCGAAAAATGGTTTCATACTATGTGGACTCCAACAACGATATACAAGGAAACGTGTTGTGGCTAAATTTTCTAGTTGTCTTTTAAGCATTAGGAAATGACCAGTTTTTGTGAATGTTAGAATTGGAATATTCTACTGCTAGCGATTAGCTCAATACTTAGGCTATTTTTGACTGTTTCAGTGAAAGTTTTCAAGAACTGCAAGGATTTCTGCATCAACTGTGCTGTGATTTAGGACAGTAAAAAGATATATGTTTGTTCTTCACATTTCAACCAAGCACTTTTTTTTTTTTTTTTTTTTTTTTTTTTTTTTCAGAAGGAATAATTTATATTTTGCTTCAACAGAATTTAAAAGTTGGTTTGCTTCTTAAACAATACATCTTTACTGTTTCTTGCTGTAGGTCCCTTTTAGTGCCACAATGTCCCCAGTTCGGCTGCATTCGTCCAATCCCAACCTTTGTGCAGATATTGAGTTCCAGACCCCCCCAAGCCATGTAACAGATCCTCTGGAGTGCTCTACAGAGTACATGAAGCTTCAAGAAGAATTCTGCCTGATGGCACAAAAAGGTAACTAGAAACATCAAACCTTTCCTTTACTGTGCTTTTCTGTTGTGTTTCGTTATTACCTTGACTTTATTGTGGCCAAGATGTTCATCTGTGTTAGATGATACCAGAAAAGAATTTAGAGCTGGTCAGGTGATTTACTTAAAGATTACGTATATTATCCTTCATGTATTTTGTGTGGATGTTGTGAATATGGAGAAAGGTAAACCCTCAAATGAGGGCTTTCCCTTAGAAAAAATTTGAACTTGTTTTTGCACCGTATGAATACATGGAATACATGATTGATATTGGAAACATTTGGCTTTATCTCTTCCAAAAGACAAATCAGAATGTCACTAATTCATAACCTTGTGCAGGGATTTTTTTCTTTCTGGGTGCAAATTTTTGTGAGAGATTCTCTGTGTCTATCAATGCAACGAAGGTAATGTTTACTACTAAAATGTACTTTAGAAATGTCACCACATTGCCAAAAAAAAAAAAAAAAAAAAAATTTTTTGCAGTTTAAAAAAGGTTTTAAAATAGTATTTGCAATCAGTTTGCTATGTGTTACATAAAAAATGCAGGAAAAATATGACACTACTTAAAAAATAAAGTCTATTTGAAGACCAAGTAATCCTTGTTATTGATGCAATATTAAGTCTTAGCCAAACTTCAGATTTTATTACCCTGAAACATAAACAGAAAGGAAAAAAGAGAGCCTCAGACACAGATTTTTCCAAATATGCAATTTTTCGTTCACTCAGCATCAAGAATATACTTAAATAAGGTGTGAACATATTGTATATACGTTGCAACTCTAAGAAGCAAGTGGTTGTACTTAATCTGGATACATATTACTTGAAGTTCACTCAGGCCTGTATTTCAAATTTCTGTATGTGTGGGATAGAAATCTCACTCTGTCTTTATTGCTAAAGTATTTTAATAAATGTAAGTATGTATTTCCATATCTGAGAAGACCCCTGTTATCTTTTTTTTTCTTTAGTGCATTCGCTTTTGAAGTCTGCCTTTAACAGCATAGCTATAGAGAAGGAGAAGCTTAAACAGATCGTCTCGGAACAGGATCTTACAGGTCACAATGCTCAAATAGCACACCTCAGACAGTCCCTTTCTCAGGTATGTTCTTGATTTGATTGCAAGCTCAGCTGATTTGCCAGATGCACTGTTTTTGTTCTGGCTATTCCCTGAGGTAGGGGAAGCCAAGAGAACAAGGTTCTTAACCAGAAATATGGCATATATTCTGCTGTGGACATGAGAACATAGGTCCAACCTCAGTGCATGTGGAGGATATGTATCGTTTTTTCTTTTTGTAAGCATGTATTTATTATAGTTTTCCAAGGGAAAACAAGACTATCAACAATTTTTATGGGAAAGATAGATATCTTTTTTGGCGCCGCCTCTAGCGCATTCAAAGAGATACTCTAGTTTTTTTAAATTGAGTTTTAAATTTTGACTGTGTATTTTCAGATTTGTTTTATATGTCCTTGTCTCCAACTACAAAAGGAATTATGTGTTAAAGAATAATCATGGGTAAACAGGATTTTCAAATCCAAACCTGCTTCTCCCACTTAAGCTAAAGGGAAGTTTGTCATTGGCTTTAGTTGGGCAGAAGAGATGGAGCAACAGTAAGTGCTTTGATGGAGTACCCTACACCATTTTGTGAGATGTATTTTCAGGTTGCAAAACAACTCTAGTGTTTCAATTTAGAAAAGCTGGTGCAATCAAGAAATGACAGCAGAGATGTAGGGGCAAATAGAACTTGACCCAAAAGTGAAGACAATTTCATGCATTATTATTGTTACTGAGTTGTATTTTTTTGCTGTGAAATTAAAACTGAGACATAATGCTTCTATAGGCATAGATGTGTGATGTTACATAGATTGATTACTGCATATGGCAGTAAAGAAAGATTAAGGCCAAAATATAATGGTAACCATTTATTGTCACTGATACAAATTTAACCAGGACTTGCGGAAACTTGCTAGCAGCTGGTGTAAAATAGATGGTGGTATGTTACTCTTGTTCGTGGCCTCCAGTGTCAGTCTAAAAATCACTGTCACTCATCAGTTCACTGTCTCAATGGGCAGTGAATGGAAGGTTAGCATAGTCAGTTTCTTGATCAGGTTTTGGCAGTTTAGGAAGCTACAGCCCAGTTGGTGTTAGTGGTCTTACCTTACATTTTCCCTTCCATGTGAACATGCCCAGGTCATTTCAGAACAAAGCAAAATGGCATAGTTTAAACTGTCTTCAGTGACTGTTAAAACCTATTTTACTTTGATCCTACATTGTTTCAATGCAATCATGTAATCTGTTCCAGGGACAGGAGCAGAAAGATTGTGACTGTGGTAACAATAACTGCCCACTACAACAGTATGTCTGCTGTTCTGTAATTCCCAGTGTGAGGGATACATTAGGTTTATGTCAATTCATGTTCTGGGTGTATAACATATTATGCTTTTTTGGAGTTCAACTTGCGTGTAGTCACGTCCTTCTAAACATCATGCGATGTGTGTGTGCACCCGTGTTTATAATCTAGCTTGGGCATTAAAGGAGGAGGAAGATTAGCAGATACCAGGCACCATTTACCATTTTACTGGCATCAGTTTATTTTGTGGTCCATAGTTTTTTGTGAGCACACACATGCATATACAGCAGCTTGGTCTGGACAGGCAGATGTCCAGTGATACTAGTCATTTTTGTTGTTTTCTCCTGAAAAGCAAGCAGTTTCCTTCTGTGGGCTCTAAGAGTTGATAACTATCGTTCAGAAAGTGCTGTTGAGTCGTAAATCAAGAATATTGCAGTTGGTTCCTTTGTTCTGCAGTTTCGTAAGCTACTGGCATAGCTACTGAAGAGCTACTTGAAGAATTAAGGTAGAATGCAGCTTAAATTGTGGGAGGGTATCGGTGCCTTCTGACCCTAGAAAATAATTGAAAGCAAGCCAGTGAAAAGATGAAATGATGTTATAGGGGGTCTTGAAATGGGTATTTGCTTATAAATGAAAGAAATTGGGTTCTGTGACTTTTTTTTGCAACGTTTCTGAGGTTAAGATTTTTTTAAAAATATTTTTTGGCTGTTTAACAGTTTTTTAAATTTGTAAGTAAAATGTGCGATTTTTATTTTAAGGCTCTCAACCAGAATGCTGAACTAAGGAGTCGCTTGAACAGAATACATTCAGAATCTGTTATTTGTGATCAGGTTGTCAGTGTAAATATTATCCCTAGCCCTGATGAGGTAAGACTTCAGCCTTTAATGGGTTTAGAATATGATCAAACCCTGCTGTTCCTCACTAATAGCTAAAACAGATTATCAGATCTCTCAGGCTGGAAATTGGATATCTGTAGATGTTTTCAGACCATACTTTTTCTACATAAAATTTGAACTTTTGTCTTTGCATATGTCAGGGCTCACGAAAGAACTATGTTCTCTGCAGAGAAATAGGGAGGGATTGCAGCTTTGTGGGAATTAATGAGGTTTTACTGTAATGTAACACACAATAACACAGCAGGTAACTATTTCTGTATCGTCTCTTGCCAAATCAGTAGAGTAGTGTAGTGTCTAACGGCAAGTGATTAGGTTTAATATCTTGAGTAGTGTTCAAAGGGTTCAGTGCATGAACCAAGCACTATACTAAATGTCTTGCTTTCTTCAGTCAACGGATAATCAAGTGTGTTACAAATCAGTCTCCCTTGTGAGAAGGACAGATATGAATTTGTGACCTCTGATATGTTGCAGTTAGTACTGTCATTTTGACAGCCATTCTGCTTGCATTTTACTGAAATACTTTACATCTGTCACTTCCATTCATTATTTTCTATGCATACATCATTTCAATTAACATACTGTGGTTTCCTATTTTTTTTTTTTTTTCCAAGAAGAAAGGCAAGTGAAAATCTGTTTCTGGTTACTTTATTTGATTTTTCAAAACATCCCATTTTTTGAATGCTGGAGACTGACAAAGAGAAGATGGAGGTGACACAGTGCCAGGGCACAACGACCTGTGGTTGAAGCAGCTGACAGTGAAGTTCTGAGCAATGACTGTCTCTTCCATTTTGTATTTTTTGCTGCTTAGCTGTTTCTTTTTTAATATGTTATCTTCATACAGGTGTGTCTGACTGAAAAAGTTTCAAAGAGGATCCCAGATCTCTCTTTCTTTTTTGTAAATATAACCTTTAGTTTATGGAATACGCATTAGTGAGCATCTTTTGTTTGTATTTTTCCATGTTCCTCGGGTTGATACAGAAACTTAAAATTTTAAGTACTTTTTGTAAAGATAACACTGAAATGAGCTGTTTCCATTATAATTATTCAAACACCGTAAATCATCCACAGGCTTATAAACCTCAGTTAAAAAGGATGAATTTTTGACCTCCTGGCTTGTTTGTGACTTTTTTTTTTATTGTCAGTGCATTTTGAGGCACCTGTATAGAAATGAGATGAAGGTGTCAACAGAGTCATTTGCTGGACTTTCGGAGTAAGGTTAATGGAGCTAATATTCCAATATGAAAAGAAACTGTGTTTCAAACACATTGTATTATCCCAGAAACATGCTGTATAAATTAAGGGATTAAATAAGTCTGTTTGCCTCCACAGCAGCTGCTGCTTTAGTGGAATAATTCAGAGAGAGAAAAGCTTAAATATTTTGTTCCTCCTTTTTAAAAGCTTGTAGAGTAACATGCTGAAACATGGCATTTCTCTCATCAAATAAGAAGAGAAGAAATGTTGAACTATTTAAATTAGCTTGCCCGTGAATTGATATCCACAGAGCACAGTTTGGGAATTCTTGCATTTGCAATTCTCTTTAAAATAAACCATAGAGAATTAATTCCCGCTAGTAATTGTGAATCAGTGTTAATCACTTAATTCAAATGAGATTTTGGAATACGTAGCCAATTTTTCTGGGTATTCAAACTTTTATTACTAGACTAGTTAACAAGTCTACTTATTTTGAAGGTAATGTATAACTCCCTAGCTTTATTGAGTTTTTGGAGCTGGGTCCAAGTACAGTTAGTTGTTATGATGAGGTATCTTTCAACTGAATTTCATAGTTGAACTCATTTGACACAGTGCAGCTATTGTTCACCAAAGCATTCCTTTGCATATAGAACTAGCTCTGTAATTATTCACTGCTGAAGATTAGTAGCAGGTGCAGCTTAGAAGCAGGCTTTAAATGAAGGCGTGTATCTCACTGCTCAGATTGCACTTTATTTTGTAATTGTTCCAGCCTCGCTTATTGAGTACACGAGAAACCCTACTAAAATATTATCTCTACTGTCTTTTCCTATATGTGACACAGAAAAATATTCAGGTCATTTACCACTTTTATGTGTATTTCTTTATTATTAGAAGTAATATTTATATTTCTCTGCATTATTTACAGACGGGTGAACAAATTCATGTCAGTTTGCCATTGTCTCAGCAAGTTTCTAACGAGAGCAGGCTCTCTATGTCTGAATCAGTGTCAGAGTTCTTTGATGCACAGGAGGTGCTTTTGTCTGCCAGCTCGTCAGAAAATGAGGTAGGCTATGATAGTGTACTGCAGCTTTGCTGTCAGAAAGATTCAAGTATAGATGTCACTAGTGAATGGTTTTTTTTTTAATGCCATTTAGAATAAAAAGGTATCAGAACTCATAAGGGTTAGATAAATTTGCCTGAGACTCGTTTGTGATGGGCTGCAGAGGTTCTCTGAAATTTAAAACTGAGCTGGAAGTTGTATCAATAATTCATGTTCATTACATGGTCTTAGTAGACTGTGTCAGTTTCAGGCAAAGATGACTGCAGCAATTAGGTCTGACTATGTGGTCAACTAATTTAGATTTTAAAGTATTCATTAAAAATAAAACAAAACAAAGTTGTTCTATCATATTGAAGTTATTCTCTGTAGTCAGAGAAGTAGACAAGTGTCAAAAATTGTGACTCACTGAAGCTCAAAGGTGACCCTGCATCATGTGGCTGCCCTCAACTTTCCCATGGTATTTGAGCTAACTGCAATATTTTACAGATTGGCACTTCAGCATCCCGTTGGAGATGTGCACAAGACAGAGATAAACAATTTTTTATCGTTCTAAGAAAAGAAGTTTGAACAAAATTTTTAAAAGTAGTTTTAACACTGATATAGTTCTTGTTTTTCAAAATGATAGGTCAGTGTTTGTATTTGTGTCTGCTGAAATGTACATTTTAATGTTTGATTCTGTATGAAAAAAGTCTCACCATCTCTTCTCACCTCCTATCCCCTATTTGTTATGCTGTTACTTTCTAGTTCTTTTGATCTCATTTGGAGTCACCCTTTTGTAAATGTAATATCTGTATTTGGCTTCATAATAAGCAATGCAGAAACATAAGGAGAGCATGTTGGTGCATTGGAAATATGGCTGACTGAAACCTCTGGTTGATTTAGTTGAGATCTCTAATTGTGTGCCAATTATATATTTGAATATTTTTGTTTCAAGTAATTGTGTGTATAATTTTTTAGTAAACTTCATATACATTTGAATTAATTGGTATTTTATTTATGTTTTAGGCTTCTGATGATGAATCTTATATCAGTGATGTGAGTGATAATATATCTGAGGACAACACCAGTGTTGCAGACATTTCTCGGCAAAGTATACTGCTACATTTTGAACTTTGGCAAATTATGTTGATTTTGTGATTTGCTACTTCTGTGTACAAGACCAACTTTGCTGAAATCAGTAAAGCTGGGCTTATTTTTTCTGGTGGTGAATTTAGTTCAGTCACCAAGACTGTTTTTCTTAATGTGGTGCTATGTTGTGATAATACTTTTCTCCCTTCCCAGTTGTCAATGGTGAACTAACTGGAGGAGCGTTCAGGAATGGACGGCGAACTTGTCTCCCAGCTCCCAGCCCTGACACCAGTAACATCAATCTATGGAATATTTTGAGAAATAACATTGGTAAAGATCTTTCCAAAGTATCCATGCCAGTTGAGCTAAATGAGCCTCTGAACACCTTGCAACATCTTTGTGAAGAGTTGGAATATAGTGAACTCTTGGACAAGGCTGCTGAAACGGATGATCCTTATGAACGCATGGTAATAAATTTAGTGTAGCACTTCTTATGTCTGTATTAAAAAAGGAAACTGTTTTGTGGAGGTCCATAAAGCACCCTCTATTGGTCTTCCATTACACAGAACTTGCTTGGTCAGGTCCATCTGCCCTGTAGGTATGTCTGTGTTTTTCACCTGATAGCCAGCAGCCAGCATTTGGCTCTTATGTTTGTGTATATTGTGTCTTTTCTTCTTGGGAGACAGGGAAAGGTGGTTAAGGGACTTGGCAGCACTGTTGCTGAACATATTTGTTGTTCCCTGGCACAGCCTCGCAGCACTGCAAGTACCTGGCAGTAGATGGCCTGTCTTTTTGTCGTGGCCAGGTACTTGGGTCCATTAACTGCCCTGTTCACGTGGGCTGAAGAGAGCAAGGGATTCTAAATGCTAGAGTTTTTTCCTTACTTCTGAGGAGTTTGTACCTGTCTTATGATAGGAGCTTGAAGTGGAGGTAGAAGAGGTTCAGGAAGAGAAAGATGGTGCAACTGAAATTGAATTAAATTGAATATCTTCATATCTGCTACTGAGATGTAGTGCACTACTGGGCAACTGTTACAAGCCAAACTTAACAAGCACCTTATGTTTTCACACCCCAGCAGAAGCACTTTCGAAAACTGAAATTTTTGAAAACAGAAATGCTGAACTATCCAGATCAGACCATAAGTGATGGCTGTGCTGTGAATGTTGCCCGCTTTCTGCTCTGCTATTGGAAAAACCAGGAGCTTGTTATCTGCATGCCTGTCATGATTCCTTGAACTGCAGTTGCTAACTGGAGCTGCAATCTGAATTAATGTGGCATGTCAGTTAGCATATTACGCCAGCTGGCTCTTGTTCAGAGGTTGGAATGTACAGGTAGATATAGGGGGGTGAACCATGCACGGGAGATCGTGAGATACCTTAGCATGAAGTACATCCTCAGTGGGAGCTCTTCACATTTAGCAGTAAATAAAATGGGTACCAATGGGGGAAAATTGAATGGGGGAGAATTGATCCTGTCATTTAAAATTATCATCCAGTATTCACAAACAGCATGGGTGGCTGAGTTTGTGTTGTAGCTCATGGGTGATAAGCTCGATCAAAGGTGGAAATTAGTGTCTTGTACAGATTGTTTTAGGGGCCTGTGAGAAGAGACTGACAGACCATGAAAAAAAATTGTACCACAATTCTGCTATGTGATATCCCACACTATAAGAATCTCAGCCTATTTTCTGTTATGTTCTTGTCTGCATTCCAATAGGTTCTCATAGCTGCTTTTGCAGCATCAGGTTATGCCTCTACGTATTTCAGAGCAGGAAGCAAGCCGTTTAACCCTGTGCTTGGTGAAACTTATGAATGTATTAGAGAAGACAAAGGATTTCGATTTTTCTCCGAGCAGGTAAAGCTTGTTTCTAGATGAGTATTGATGTTTAGGTTTCTTTGTTTAACAGAGTGATTTTCTTCCTTCTTTTGAGTTAAAATGGTATGTTTTCTTAATAGTAAAGAAAGGTAGCAAGTATGAGTGAACTCATTAAATACTAGAAGATATCTGTTTTTATAGTAATCTGTTGTAGTGTTTTAAGCAGATAATGTAAAACTGAAGCTTAAACTGTCATCTGGTTTCATAGCAAAACAAGTTAGTAGTGTGGACTGCTTACTATTTTTATATTGCAGTAACAGTTGTATTGTTTTTGGAATGAAAATTAATTATTTTTAACTCAGACAAGCTGTTTTTCAGGTTAGCCACCATCCTCCCATTTCAGCCTGCCACTGTGAATCGAAGAACTTTGTGTTTTGGCAAGGTATACATTTATAATCAAAAAGTACAGAACTTTTTTTTTTTTTTTTACTAGCAAGTAAGAACTTTGTAGAAGCTGAGCTTTGTATTTATTTTTTATACTGAAAGTTTGTAGTAAGACATTAAAAACTGATGCTTTGAATTAATTCACTCAAAATTCTCATTCTTAAGAGTAAGTAGATGTGTTACATTTTCTTGTCTCTTGCAGCATGTTTATACATTTCTATTTAAAAGGTTTTTACCAAGAAAATTATTTCTTATAATCACAAGCTGCTGGTTTTTTTTGTTTGTTTGTTTGTTTGTTTTTTTACAAAGTTGAACAAGCAGATGTTTATTTCTTTGTCTCTACTGTCATACACATTGAATTTATATTGAATAGTCTCAGAGATTTGACAGCACAGCACAGGTATAACTTCTAGAAGAAAATGAAACTTTATCTTTTCTGATCTAATACCATTCTCTAGTTGTTCGTTTTCTTTTTTTGTATTTTATGGCAACCTCATACTATGCCATTGTAAATGATGTAGTACAGCAGATCCCTGCAAGAGGGAGAATTGAGTCTTCCTGGTTTTGTAAATCTTTTCTTTTATATTCAGATATCAGGTGGAAAAACAAATTTTGGGGGAAATCAATGGAAATTCTTCCAGTTGGAACCTTGAATGTGACTCTTCCAAAGTAAGCTACTGTTATATTTTGTTTTGGTTTCTGACGTAGTCTAATCTGTACGTCCTTGTAACTGGATTGGATGAAGGATAAGCAAAGGGCACATGAATTGAACTGTGTGGGTGAGGGTTAGCATATAGCTCAAATCTCTTGTGTGTACATGCAGGTTGGGACACTGAAGTGATCAGCTGTTCAGAACAAGGCTGACAGTACTTTCAGCTAGCGTTGTCCATATTAAAGCTCTCAATACTGCTAGTATGGCCTCAGAAGAACCAGTACTAATATTTGAAGGTCATTTTCAAAATGTGAAAGCCAAAAAATGCAGTTTGATTTTAAATAGTGTAAGGAAGGAGTTTCAGTACAAATAAAATTGGTTTTAAGTTGTAAACCATGAGAATATGCTAGGAGAGGATACTTTAAGCATGCCTGCAGGTTCTGCAATACTCTGTTCTTGATCCTTTGAACTGGGGACACCTTTCTTTCTTTCTGCCTGTAACATATGGCATCCTTAGGGACTCCACCTCTTTATCATATCATCAAATCAAAGTAAATGCATTCTGAAATAGCTTTGTCTTCTGTCTACATGTTTGGCCCTCAGCTCTGTAGGACAATGTGCTTCATTCACCCATTTTAATCTCTGACAACAGATGTGCTCTTACTCCAAGTAGCTTTGACAGAGGAAAAGAGAAAATGTACCAGTGAGCCTACTTCACTTCTGTTTTCTTCTTTCCATATTTAGTTTGTTCTATCTGTAATTTAATTGATTTGTCTGCCTCTGGCCTAAATCCAACCTTATACTGATCTTTGGATCCAGGTCTTCTAGAACTGAAGTCGAAGCACGTAATGCTCTGAGGACAGTGAATATGCTCTGCAGGACTTCAGTGATTCATAATGTCTTATTTGTATTTTGTAGCATCATTCTTCAGTTCTCCACACTAGAGCTTAGGTGAACTTTTCCATGGAAGATTAATAACATGCCCAGAACTTATGCTTTTAATAAAATAAACGATTGTTACAAAAGTTTTTCAGGAATATAGTCTGGTAATTATGTTAATGATTTACTTTTTTTTTCCATGATGATCATGATTAATTTGCATTATTAACCTCTTATTGATCTATTCTTAGGTACGGAGACTACTACGTCTGGAACAAAGTCACTACTTGCATACATAATATCCTTAGTGGAAGGAGGTGGATAGAACACTATGGAGAGATAACAATCAGGAACACAAAAAGCAGTGTTTGTATTTGTAAACTCACATTTGTCAAGGTAACACATTTATTCTAATGCATATCACTGCACGGCTTAAGTTTGTATAGAACTGTTCCTTCAATATTCCTGAAATATGTTACACTTCTGACTTATCAACATTTGTGAATATGTAAATCATCAAATAAGAGTGCTATTTCAAACAGCATGACTCTTCTATTGAACTGGTCAACTTTATGTCAGCATTTTACATTGCTGTACAGTTGTGTGCTATACTGCTGTTGATTTTAATGAAAATCATTTAAAAATGAAATAGCAAAATTTCTGTTATTACAATGGAAATGCAAGCTCACTGGATAGACTTCTGTGCCATCTGCGTTTGCTAGAACTTGGCCACCACTTTTATCTCTTTGGCTTCAGTAATGCCTTCGCTCCTGTTATTTTAATAACCAGGCAAGGGTCATAAATAAAAACAGGTCAGTGTACAGCAGGTAGTTAACTGAACTTAGATACCTTTTATACCAAAACCGGTTATCGAGTCATTCAAGGTTTCCCATACACTAACACAGTTAATATTCAAATCATTTAAATTTTGAATACCATTATTCTTGGTGAGCAATTCTTATGTAAAATTTTGACTGTTGGTGACACATTAAGATTCATGCAATGTCGGAATTGGCACAATGAGTGATGTGGTAACTGAGTAGTAATTCCTTATAAAACTTGCAGGTAAACTACTGGAATTCAAATGTAAATGAAGTCCAGGGAGTTGTGATAGATCAAGAAGGGAAGGTAGTGCATCGCCTCTTTGGAAAGTGGCACGAAGGTCTTTATTGTGGTGTAGCACCTTCAGCCAAATGCGTGTGGAGGCCAGGTAAGAAGCTTGTGATAAACTCTGGCAGGCACCGTGGTATATTTCTAAACTGTGTAAGGCACTCTGAGCAATCACTGTAAGTACATGAAATGCTACTGGGGAAATACGTTTTTGGCTAAACAAGTGAACAAGATTTTACAGGTGTTTATAATGAAGATAAATGGAAATCTACTTGGCTCAGTCTACATCTTGGTTTGACTCCTGATGAAATCCTTTTGGGTGCTGGAGACAACATAAAAATGAAACTGAGAAAATATTTGGATATCTAGGTCTGCATGACTACTTCCTCAAGGAGAGCAGGGCCATGTTACCAAATTTAGTCTTCTGTTAAACTAAAGGATTTGTCTTCCGAGATAGTGAGCTCTTGTGATTTCAGAAGCTGAATTCAGCTTCGTTATTGCTTGCTTAGAAATTCTACCATTGAATTACTCTTCCTTTGCACGTGTAGTATTTTTCATATGTGAAGAGTGATTATCCAGAATCTGTCATAATTAATAATGTTTTGTGCCTGCTATGCTCTGATGGCTGTCAATGCTGAAGGTTCAGGACAGTGCCCAGTCAGACTTTGCATGAGTATACGGTCCAAAATTAACACAGTAATTTAGCTAGGATTGGCTTTTGTATACGCATCTGAAAAGTGTGGGAACAGGAAGTTATTTCACTTGGAAATCTTGAACAGTAATTTTTATTTAAAAAGGAAGGATCATGAAAGCTTTGAATCTACTAGCAGGTAATTACAACCTATACAGGATAAGCAATTGAAATTAGTATTTTAGTGCATGTTGATCTATCTAGAGAATGCCTTTTGATACTTTTTGATACTTTGTGTGTAAGAGTAAAGTATTTTAATATTTTTTTGCTTTTACAGTTTAATAAATATATAAATATTTTGCATGTTTATATTAGCAGTTTAAAAAGCGTGTTTTTCTTTGTCATGCATATACATGCAGGCTCCATGCCAACCAACTATGAACGGTATTATGGCTTCACAAGATTTGCTATTGAGCTCAATGAATTAGATCCTGTACTGAAACATCTTCTTCCAACAACAGATGCACGATTCAGGCCGGATCAAAGGCAAGAATGCTTATTTACGCACTTAATATTTGGTGATTTTAAGGGTGCATTTGGCTGAGTATTGGTTTTTGTCTGTGCACAGTCTGGACTTGCAGAATTCTCCTAGCTCTGAAGGTACTCAGTAGTGAAGTCAAATTTCTGCTTCACTCAATTGAAGGAAAGGAAAATAGAAAGCATTCTGCTTAGTATACTGTACAAGCCTTCTAGTCGAAGGTACCTGCTTAGTATACTGTACAGGTCTTCTAGTCGAAGGTAGTATTCTTCATAACAGGCTGGAATTACATGCTCTGAAATGTCATGCCCTGCAGCTGTGAATGGAGGCAATGGGAATTCCCTCCTAATTCTCAGTTCATACTACTTCAATGTTTGTGATACACTGAAGTAACTAGAGATAATGTATGCCTAAGGCTGGAAGGCAGTTACCTGCAACTGGGGAGTCGAGTATCAGTCACTCCCATTTTCTGAGGTTTTGATTAGATCTTACAGAGGGTACAACAAAGACAAGGAGCATGATTTTCGCTAGTCTTTTGTGATGAACAGTCCTAGAAAATTCCTTGTTCAGATACAGTATGATTGCTATAAGATAGCTGTTATCCATACAGGCTTCTAGAGGAAGGAAATATAGAAGCAGCAGCATCAGAGAAGCAAAGAATAGAAGAACTCCAGAGAAGTCGGAGGCGGTACATGGAAGAAAACAACATTGAATATGTACCCAAGTTTTTTAAGTGAGTCTTTTCATTTCAGTAGTAAACCTTTGCTGTGCTGTGACTGAATGAATTACTGCACCGCACAGCCAATAGTTTTTGAAGTTTAAAATGGGGTAGAAGTATAACATTTTAGGAGCTGTTAACGTTCATCATTGTTAGCTCTTAGAAACTAAGATTTAGCTAAGTTATTGTAAGTCATTGCATAGACAAAGTAATAAGTAAATAAACAAAAACAATGTATGTACACACACATGGGTATATAATGTAGATATAAATGTATATATACACAATTACAATTAAACTTTTAGGGAGTTTTTTTTAATTAAGCAGTCTTTTGAAACAATGGATACCCATTCCAAACACCATGAAGAATCAGAAGTGGTGAGACTGAAAAAGGCCTAATGTGTGATTAATGAAATGTTATGGTTAGATCAGAGAGATATGGTATTGATTGCATATTGTATAGGAGAAGAAATTTGATATCAGACTTCCCTCTCTTTTTTTCTTCTATAGAAAAGTTATTGATGCTAATCAAAGAGAAGCCTGGGTTACCAATGAAACCTACTGGGAACTGCGAAAGGATCCGGGATTTAGTAAAGTAGAAATTCCTGTACTCTGGTAAACTGAGAATGTAGATCTAGTAAACATATCAACTCTCTGAAGAAAAAAATAACTATGCACAATATGTTTCTTATAGATAAGTGTGGTTTGTGGGTCTATGGAAAAACCTATCATTTGCATTTATTTTCATCTTTATAATGGACTTTTGAAAGTGCATTAGACCAGGCCCCTGACCACTTCTGGATCTTTTTAATTTTGCAGCAGCCATTAAAAAAAAAAAAAGAAAAAGGAACAAATAAAAACCTTTTGAAGTTTCATACAATGAAAATTCAGAAGAGAAGCAGATGAGTTATCCAAAGTCACTTGGAGGAGGCGGTAAATACAAAACTGCAATTGGTGCTTTAAACAGACATTAAGAGTAATGTAATTTAAATTAAAAGAAAAAAAGGAAGAAAAACAGAAAAAAATCCATTTTGTTTCAACTATTTTTGTTAAAATCTTTTGAGTCATCACACTGTCATTTCTGGCTTCGGGTTAGTCCTTTGGTGTCCTGTGCTTGGACTGGGCCTTGTCAAAACATGCTTTTCTGAAAGCTGTTCCCATTCATATGCCATTGTTCATGCCTTAAAGAAAATACCAAGATGTACAGTAAGTCATTTTAAAATATATATGCTTAGGCTTGTGCGAAGGTCAGATTTTTAAAGCACTAGGATTTTATCGTGATACAAATATTGGAGAACCTGTATTATTTAAAATCAAAAGACAGCCAAACATCTAACTGTATTTCAGAGGAACAAGATCTACTGTACATGCTTTAGCTATTGGGAGCTGACTGTATAATCAGACTAAAAAGAAGCTGCTAACGAGTTAAAATTGAGGCTATTTTGGTAAATGCATATGAGTGGCTAGTCAGAAAATTCATATTTTAAGTGGCTAATGTTGAGATGCATTTGTTGCTTTTACCACTGAGCGAGCATGGTCTTGCAGCAAATTCATTTCCCTATAATTGCTTATGCAATTAGGATTCCCTGAAGCTTTGCAGTGTTAAAGCACAGAAAGATTTCATGGGAAAGTCTCTGGCTTCGCTCCAGAGGTTGGATCGTACCATAAATGAAATGTGATAGTTTTTTCCACACATGCTGTTTACTGGCTCTGTTCTTTCCCCAGCCACTTATTGCATCTAAATTTATATTTGAGAGTAGGGCAGAAGCTCCTGTGCTTTGTAGCTACCTTCTGCTACTCGTGTTGCCAAAATAGCTTTTGTGCAAAATTATATTTTACAGTTTTTCTGAAAGTGATTCTATATTTTTGATTAAGAACCAAGACTCTTACATATTGGTAAGCCTCAGTAAATATATGTAGGAGATGGTTTGGCACTTTCTGAATGAAAATCTCTGAAACACTGAACAGTAGTAGGGCAGATTTTAAAAGAAAAAGCATAATTTTATTTGGTAAAACGTGCATTCCATATGGTATGATCTAGTTTTTCATTTATATGTGTATTACACATCCACTTACTGATGCCAGGTTAGATTTCATAAATAGACTCTATTACTTTCTGCATGTAAACAGCATACATAATGCATACAATTTTTCCTATTTAAAATTGATTCCAATAATGAGACCTAAAAAAAAAAAATTTGCTTACTATGTGACTACCAGAAATGCTACAAGGACAGCTGTCAGTGCAATACAATACGTACCTGTTCCTCCCCCTGCCTCTTGCTTTTGCAGAGCTGACATCAGTTTGATTACTTAATATGCGTTTAGTTCTTCCCTTTGTTTATAAAGCAGAACAATTGGCTACTAATGAATCCCAGTTTCTTCATCTTACCAGGAAGAAATATGGAAACCTGAATAAAATATTAAGTTGAATTTTAAAGAATTATGAATACTTGGTGTAAAAAAAAAAAACCTGCAGATTACCGGGATTTCTTCCAAAGAAAAATTATAATTAATGAATGATGTAATTTTTTTTTTTACTTCAGCAGAACTGGATTTCTTCTTTTTTGAGTTCTACATTTGTTATTACAAAAAAATTAAGATATATAAAGGTTTGGGTTTTTTTAATTGTATTTGTTTGACTTCAACATACTTGCTCTAATGGTGTTATACTACAAAACAAATTGGCACGCTATGTGCAAAATAGTGATTGATTATACTGGATCACTTTTTAAAATGAAATATACTATTAAGCATTTGCCCATCTCATGCTTCAGTCTCAGTGTGCAGTTTGCTGCAGCATTGGAAAGTATTATGTATGCATATCTGCAGGTATATTTGAGGGACAGAACTTACGTCCTCTTTTGTTTTTTGAGTTTTTTCTGTATTTAAATTAAAAAAGAAAAAGGTATTTAATTTTATGGTGTTCTGATAGTGTTTCATGAATACCATTCCTTGCAATGCAAACTTGGTTAACACTGAAGATGCTATCACTTAATTATTCTTTTGCAATTGTTTATCTGATACTCATTGTAAGAAAATTAGCATTCAATTTTTTAGAGTTAAAAAAATGGTACACTAAATCTTTCTATTGAAGGCACTCTTTGAACCTATGGAGTATTAATTTAACTGAATGTTAAACTAGTTAACTAGTAACTAGAGGAATTACAAAGCGTTGCAGGATTTTTTCTGTCTTTATCAGAATCCTAACAGTGCCAGCAGGTGTGCCATAAGCTGTTTCCTACAGTACAGAATTCTCTGTGCTCTGTGAAAAAAATCTAATTTTTCCTGCAAACTTGATTGGACACTGTGACAACGTGTTGGGTTGTGGTATGTTTCTTTGCCCAGGTCGATGATGAGATATTCATCTATGTGCACTGCAAACTGACCCTTCTTTGCAGGCTGCCAGCAGGGTCTTAGCCGCTGGTTGGTCCCTTCAAGCCTGAGGATTTGGGCAGTTTCCAGCCCACCTTGTTCCATTCAGCCGGGCAATATTTCCTTTACAAGGGCATAAAAGGTACTTACCTGCTCGGCAGATTTAATTGCTACAGATTTGGTTTGTGATGAAAATCAATGTCAATCATTTCACATTTTAGAAACAGGAGTTCAACTTTCAATATAAAGATGTTTCCCTTGCTTTTTCTCTTGTTTTCTTTAAATACTTCTGTGTAAAGTAATCAGCCCTTAAGCTTCAGTTCTGCAGTAGTGAAATGTACTGTCAATTAATACTTTAAAGTGTACTTCATTTTCTTCCTTGTTCTGATACTGTGGATATGATAGGGCAGCGATAGCTATGTCCATCAAAAGCTGTGTGATCTTACAAAGACTTCAATAACTACATTCCTATATTAGATGCATATTAACAAGATAGCAGATTTTCCTGCTTATTAGAAACTGTTACCTTGCTGGAAATAACATTTGTATATGAGTTGATTTTCATAGTATCACTGTGATTAAAATGTCACATCAGCGCTCATTCTAATTTTAGATGCAGGTTGCATGAAGTAAATATTTTTTGTGTTAGATCGTTCTATAATACTCTGGTCATCTTAAAAATACAGTCACACCTTTTTGTATCATTTTTTCCCCCCTAATTTTGAACTTCTGAATCTGAATGAGCATTTATGACATTTGTGAGTTTTGCTTGAACAGTAGGTGCCAGGCAGATGTGAAGTGCTGCAGGACATACATGTTACCAGCATTGATCCTGCCCTTCCATGTGAGGATTTGCACCCCAGCCATGCATTCCTGCTCATTGCATTCCTTTCCCCAACCCAAAATTGGATTTTTAGGATAGTTTGGGAGGAAGGAGAGCTTCACTTGCAAATGCACAATAACTGAGAGGGCTGGATATTCTGGGTTTTCTTTTGCGAGTTTAAAAAAAACCCCTTCCTTTAGCTATCAAAGCTTGGTTAGTATGTTGCCTTTGTTTTATACGATTTTGAATTGTTTGCTGCATAGATGGGCACTGACTGTTTTAAATGCCGTTGGCTGCAATAGTCTGAGGAATTAACTCTATTGTAGTTGTCCCTACTAATTCTGGATTTGCAAAATGAAAGCAAATGAAGAATTTTTAGATTGAATCTAAAGAAAAAGGGTATTTTTATTCATATGCTGAAATTGAGGGGTTATATTGAAGAGAGTTTGGTTCAGCTATGGGAAAAAGATATTCACAGAATTGTGTGGAACAAAAAACAAATGCTGGAACGTCCTCACCTGTCAGCATGTATTATACAGACTCCTTGGAGAAGGCTAAAAGATTGGTATGTCTTAACTACTTATCTGAGGAGCTATTGGGGCTGGTATCTAGCATTTTCATCTTGGATGTCATTAAGTAACGCTCCTCAAAATTGAACATATATTGCTGGGGGTCAAGGTGGTCAGAGATACAGTTGCAACTATTTTTTTTGTTGTTGTTAATCTGCTCAAAATTCTAAGGGAACATTCAGTATAAAACTATTTCTGTATTTCTGTACTTTCTACTTCGTCAATCCTGATTAGTTTTATTATGATTCTGGTATCACTCAGAAGATAAGTCTTTCATGGAGAAAGGATGTGTTCTTTCCTGTTCGTTTTTGTTCCTGTTTAATTGTTTTTTGTTTTGTTTTAGAGAGAAGAATCTAGACGGTGCTAATTAAAATTTGATTATTAATAAGGAGAATATCTCCCTAAAATCTCTTTACACTCCCTCAGAACAGGGTATGGCACCACAGGAATGTTATAAATCTCATTAAGTTAAAACAAAGAAAAGGCTTATTTACAGCAGTTGATTTTATTTTTTGTATTATGCAGTGTAAAGGGTCTAATCACAAAAGTTCTTTAAACTTGAGCATATAGAACCTTTTGTTGAGTATCTTGGTGTACGTTCCATCCTTCTTCCACTGACTTGAGGAGCCTCTTTATAAAAACCTCCTTAGGGGAATTTCTATATGGCATCTTGCAAGTTTAAAAAGCGTCAGAAATTGATCCTTAGGTGTTTTATATATATGTACATCCCTCTTTTGTCAGGTTTTTTTTCTAATATTAAACCCACTATGTCTTTTTCCCCTTTTGATCTCTGACAAACTTCAGAAGGGAGAGACTATAATGGAGAGCAGTGGAGCCAGAGACATCAGTTCTGTCAGCGGCATCCTTGTAGCAGAACAGAAAAAATTCAAGCATCTGCAGATTAAAATGTCATAGCAGCTGTTAAATCTGTTTCAGGCAGGTTGTTAATACCATTTCTCTTTCTAGTGTTCCATGACAGTATGAGAAAAGGGGGGATTGGTGACATTTGTTCAGAATTGATTCTGAAGGTAAAAAGAAATTTTATTCCATTTATAAATAAAAATGACTGTAGACAATATTTGTCTGAAGTGATATTGGTAACATGGACAAAAGAGTTAGAGATTTTATAAATACAGAAATCAAAAAGTTGAGATATATATACCACTCAGCAGTGTGTAATATATTCTGTCCTGAACTATGAATAGTAAGGATACCTATTCATATCCTTGGAGCCATGAACCACATGTTGTCTCCCATGAAACACTGACAAAAACATTTCCATGTTTACTGCTAATTTAATGATCTGTGTTCATGGATGAGGCATATCTTATGCTAAGCTATAATCTTGCTGTCACAAACTATTAGGAACGCAAAATGGGAAGAGGTAAGCAGTCTTTCAAAATGGTGGAGGTGGATGATTTAATTGTTTGTACTCTAGGCATCCTCATGATAAAAGCGTTATACAAATATTCAAACAGAGCAATTCTTCCTTGTGCCAGTCAGTTTAGCCACAAATGCAACATCTTTTTTCTGGAACTGCTTTACTATTTGTGATTGCATTTCTGGCAGCTGGAGTCTGTTGGGCTGGTTTCTCATGTCCTCTGAGAACAGTCAGAAGCAGTCGGACTGGAAATTCAGATTTCTTTTCTCGTAATTGTCTGTTCCTTTATCTCATAGTCCTCTACCTTTTGTAAATTTACTTCAACAAGGGATATTACAATAGCATTTTAAAAGTTCAGTTTAGATTAACCCATCAGTATTTTGTGGGTGAAGGAGAATTCAGGATACGTTTCTTAACTATGTTGAATAAATCAAGTGATGCAAAATTATCATTGTATTTGTGAAATATTTAACATACATATTTGGAGATCAAATCACCAATAATGAAATGGTACATAAAAATTTAAAATCTGCATTTTCACCCATCTTAAAGGTGAAGATTATCATTCTAACATAAGGTTAGAAATTAGGTGTATTCTGTTCTTCAAAGAAATGTGGATGGTATTCATTGGAGGCTTGCATTTATCATAAGAAATTCACATCAGAATAAATTTTATATTCAGCTGAGTCTCAACTAAGACATGACTAGGAACTGAGAAATGTTGAAGAATGTATTCTGGTATGCAGGCGTAAATGCAAAGATTGCAATTAATAGCTTAGTTAAGCTTTTGCTATAATTAACAAAAGCTCTGTTCTTTTTGTCGACTAATTATTTTCAAACATTTATTCCTTACCAATGACTAATTGCATATCAGGTTTGAGTTTTGAAAATGAGATGGTGTTTGCAGCTCCACAGACAAAGGATGGTTCTTCTCGCATGTATTTTGTTCAGGTCTTTTACTTTTCCACTAAGATTTTGCTTGGACCAAAAAGAAATGTTAGTGGTTTTTCTGGATGAGAATCTTCCTTTGTGTATTGACTTGTATCTGTAGTAAGTGAGAAAGCAAGGTGTTAGCATTTGATGTCTGAATTATTTTCCTTCAGTAAAATGTGTAAGGAACTTCTTGCTCTTTAACAGTTACTACTAGTTGACTGGAGCAGATGCTTTGCTTAGCCTATGAGAAGACATTAAATTACTGTGGCATCCAGAGAGATCATGATGATAGTTCTGTATTAGGAGATTAGGTATATCTGCTTTGTTGTAACCAGTAGCAAGCTTTCTTATTTGGGTCTGTGTCGATTGCCCTTTGTATGATTATAATTATAATTTCTTAGCATTTCAACAGAGAACTGTGTGTTTTCTCTCATTGTTTTCCACAGTTGATACAAATTGGAAATAACATAGCACTTTTTTGCTGTAATGAATTCCAGTACTTGCAGATTGCTCACACTGAGAATGCCATTAGAGAAGTAAGGATTAGATTAGCTGCCAATTTCACATTGCTTTCTGAGCTTCATTACTCTTAGCAGCATTTACTTTCAAATGGGAAGCAGCCCAGCAACAGTGAACAAAAATGTAAAAAGAATAGCTAAAAGGGCATTATTTGCTAAATTTCCATATCCCTGCACCTATTTGAGGAAAAAAAAAACTTTTTTTTTTTTTTTTTTTTTTTTTTTTTTTACACCTTTATGTAATATCCTTGTGAACAGATGTCCTTGGAGTCTTTCTACTGTGGTTAAACTGTTGTGCTAGTTAGAAATGTTTTCAGAATTTTTTTTTTTTAAGATGAATTTTAAAGGCAAATCGTTGCTTTCTAGGAAACCCAACATACAGAGTCATTGCTATATTTAAGTACTGCAGACTGTGACTTTATTTTGACTCGACTGTAACTGCGAAGGGTCTGTGTACCTTGATGCACCAGACAAAAATTTGTTGTTTGAAAGGAATAGAGAAGTGTTACGTGAGGAAAAAAAAAAAAAAAAAAAAAGAAAAAAAAAAAAAAAAAAAAAAATAAAGAAAGCAAGAAGTATTTGTGCTTCCAGCTACAAAATTGTTGCAGAAAGCACTACTTTTGAGCAATGCAGTGTTAAACCACGCCTCATTTTTTGCTGAGAAGTTCACTTCTATAAGGAGATGAAGGAGAAAAAGATAGTGGGGAAAGGAAGTCAGTACTGCAATTTTGAAATTACTCAGAAAATTGAAGTGTGAATCTTTATGTTGAAAGCTGTAAAAGCTACTTAAAGTCTTGCAATTTTTAAGACTTTAAATGTAGTCCTTCATCATACATTCAGTAATTTATTTATTTCTTTTTAAATCCTTGACTGCCATCCTGCAAATACGTCTTCATTTGTTCTTGATAATTTGCAATTTTGGGAGATCTTTCAGAATGATGATTCTTTACATCTTCTTAATTCTGTTCTCCAAATACTGACTGTGATTATGCCTATAAAAGCACTTAAATTTATCAAGCACCAACAATTGAGAAATAATATAGATAAGATATAATTTGAATAGACTTTGATTTCACATGCAAGAGTTAAACAGTAATGTGCATGCCAGAATTTTTTTAGCTTCACCTTCTTGGACTGAGCAGGCATCGGTGTGTCCCTAAGGTACACCTTGCAAGTGGTCTCACTGAATTCAGTTAGAAAGATGTAGATGCAGAAGTTTAAATAAAAGGCTCATCAGAAAGAAATCAAAACAACATACCTGGCTACACCAGGTTTTGTAGCACTTAATTTTTAATTCCTATGTGCTCAGACAAATAAGCATATGTGCAGATGAGGCTGAGCTCCTATTGGTATTCTATGGACCTCAGTGAACTTCTAGAGGAGTGGATGGTCCAGCTGCTCAAATGTATTGCGGTGTCATGCCTACTATATAGTCAAGCCTGAGTGTTCAGCGTAATTTTGAATGTGTGCACTGTCTCATGAAAGATCAATGTGTGAAATGCAGCTGGTTTGACTGCTTGCCAATCAGAGCAATATATTTAACTTTATTTTGACTCAACTGTGTTTTGGAACCACGTTTTGGTGCAGTGTTTAAGGATCAGTCAATTATGTGTCTCTGCATAGATCAATTATGTATGACATTTGAGAGAAAGAGCAGGAGATCAGATCAATGACAATTCATCATGTTATGTTTCACTCTGGCAAGCTGAATTGTAGGAATATTTGTGATTCCTTTCCGTTTGCCTGTGCTCCACAGGCTGGTGCCAGCCTGGAGCGGGGGCTGCTGGTACTGCATGCTGGTTGTAGGGAAAGGCTACTTTCTCTGACCTGTGGAGAAGGGGTGTCTAACTAATAGCATGTTTCCAGTCTCAGCCCATGGAAGGCATGAACATGAGAAAGTGCCTCCCTTCCTCTCCTATTAGGCTTTAGCACATCAGTTAAAATTGCTATTTGTTTAGTATACTGAGTTCTCTAGCAACTTTCTGGCTAGCAAGTAGGTTTGACCTTTGAAGGAGCAGTGAGATGGCAGTTTTAAGTTCCCATGTAGTGCAGCTGCAACGCACTTGCCCTGTGTCTTTGTACTTGTGAGTTGGTTTTGATCATGCTGTTATAATATGTCTGAATGCAGATGAGGCCTCGTGCTGACTACCTCTTGTGCAATAAATTACAGGCTCATGCAGCAGTGGGTGTTGGTGGCGATTCCTTGGCAACAGGAGCATCTGTTTGCCATGTGATTCAGGGAAGGGATGATGGGACAATAGTAAACAAGAGAATTTAATTGGGAGTTCACTCCAGTGGTTTACGTGGTATAGACAATACCCATGATATCAACTCCAACTGAGGAAAGTTCTACAGCTTCCGGTAGGAAATAAAAGTGAACTTGGCTATGCTGTAGTTTATGTTATGCTCTAAAATGTAACAAAAGATGTCATCTGTTTCCTCCATCTGAACCGGGTTTACCAGTATATCATGTCCAAGACACACACGCATTTCTAGATTTTGAGGAAACATGATGCTCTTTTACCTGTTGCATTGTAATTGGATAATGCATGTACAAATGACTTGTTTAGCCTGCCAATGAATGTTGCTAATGCCTTACCAAAAAAAGCATATTTTTTGTATTTTTTTCCTCAGAGGCAAATCCAAACAATGCTAGATTTGGGAAACTGTTTACTGAAAAGCATTTTCTAACAGATCTCTGAAGAAGTGCAATTGTATAATTATTATTGTTCAATGCATACAGTACATTGTCTCCATCACTCTGTACACTGCTGCTATTAGTGCTTGTTCTAATAAATCTCAATGTACACTGTTTAAGCTGCTGTGATCTGCGTTCTGATTATTGACATAAGAAACACCTTGGAGTACGACTTTCAAATGACTTGTTTGTAAGCAGGTAAGCAAACTATTAATTGTAACAATCCTGAATATATGTTGTGCAGGTTGATTTTGCAGAGGCAGGTGGCAGCAGCACCAATAGCACTGAAGCAGCTTGTGCCACATAACTCTGTTTCTTTAAATCTGGCAAGAGTTACCAACCGCAGTCTCCAAGAAGATAATTTTCCGTTTGTCAGTTCCCAGTTTTATCTTTACGCTACAGCTGGTAAGAGCCCTTTGACTTTTGTCTTGTCAGCTTGCACCTTGTGATTAAAGGGAGCTCGAAGTATGTTTCTCAAGTTGTGTGAGAGGGAGTAGAGGAAATGGGTTCGTGGTGTTCTCTAATAGAATTGAAAAAAGACGTGTGGAAATAGAGGAGAGAAAAGAAGTTACTAGACACCTACCCATTCTGGCATCTCCTTGGAAAAAACAGTACTGTGTGAGATTTTTCATTATGTGTTCCTGTCTGTTGTTCAGCCCTTAGATCAATTACGTTTCATTTTGAAAGCAACTATTTGTTTTGGAGGAGAAGCTAAGGTTTTTTTGTTGTTTCCTGAGAGCAAGTGTTGAAGCATTCTGGTAGGCTGCCTGCCTGGAAGCAGCAAAGAAGGGAAAAGATTTTTTTTAATGATTTTTTTTTTTTTTCTTGTCACTAGAATGTATAACTGATGTCATCCAAACCATACATGTTCTAAGCCTGGTTGCACCCAGAGCTAATTCAGTGATAGGATTCTTTTAGAAGAATAGTTCAGATTTCACATTTCTGTGGATGGGATCTGTGTTTTGTCGCTGAATACCTTGCCAAGCCAGCCTCTCTTCAGTGACTTGCTCAGCAAAAGTGCTGTAAGTGAAATGTGAAAAGTTGCATGTTGTTATTTAATTGGTTAAACAAACAAGAAACCTTTGAGAAGAAAGGAGAGCTCAAGAGGGCTGAGGCAGCACTGCCAGTCTGCTTCTCTCTTCTTTGCATCTAACTGGGCAGAAAAACTATTCCTTGAGCATGGAAGTTAACTTTATACTTAAATTTAATCTGATCAAGAGACAGATGATAGTCCTTCACCACAAACACGTAGGCGTGGTGGTGTGGTGAAGGGAGACAGCGTAGGAAGTTATCGACAGGATTTCAGCCTGACTCAGCTGAAGAGTTGCCCACAGAAAGCTGCTCCCAGCAGCACTGCTGCTACAAAATCTGTTCTGAGGGGAATGATGCACAGCATTTTTGCCCAAACAACATATCAAGACTCATGGTTCTCCAAGTCACTGTTAGATTACGTATTTAAGACTTTCTAAATGTTAAAAACCATAAGTATGTAATAATGACTGTTTTTGCACTGCATATGTAAAAATATTTTTCCCATTAAGTTATCATTATCTTTTTTCTTTTAATCTTATTTAGTAAAGTGTCGTTCAAAACCAATGAAATACTGTGGGCTAGCTGAGAACGTATCCTGTAGTTTATTTATACTGAGTGGTGTGTCTAATTTTATGCAAGGTCAGAAAATATTGTGTTATATAACCGTTAGGCTGAGTAGTCAAGAGAGAGGTTGGGTTTTGTGGCACGTATCCATGTCCCATGCTTTTTATTAAGGGTAAATATAACAAGAATTAAGGGCAAGTTAATACAGTATGGGTTAAAGTATGTTACAGGCATGAATGTGGTGTGAAGACATTTTTACCTGTGATGAGATTACGTTTTTAATTAATGCCTGACCTTTTTTTTTTTTTTTTTTTTTTTTTTTTTTTTTTTTTTTTTTTTTTTTGCATGGAAAACACCCAGAGTAAAATCAAATACTTAGTTTCTTTTCTCTATGCCGGCTGCCATGGGTGTATTTCCTCCCTCAGGACAGAAATGAGACTAACTAGTAGCTCAAATGTTGCAACTACCTTAGTATTCTTGAGCAAGTTTTCTGCTCTGAAACGTTTTCAAAAAATGACCTTTTCTTGGACCGTAAGTGGATGGCAAATTCTGGTAAGGACATCTCAGTTGTCTTCCAGTTGTTTTTTGTTGATGTTTCTGATAAAATTTAAGGCATGGATTTTCTTTTATGTACAGTATTTCTGAGGCGTTTCACTTAATCAAAGAAACTGCACTGACAACACAAGGACACACCAAATCAGTTCTACTTCAGGAACTCATTTCGCTTAAATGCTGATCAGCCAGCCCAGTACAACAGTATTAGTCAGGCTGCTTCTTATGTTTGGTGGCAAAGAGGTATTTTTTTATGTCATCTGTCTGTAAATGCTTAGTATCTGTAAACTGCTCAGGTATTCTCTCATCTACATGTGGGGGAACAAAAAAAAAAGAGACTGGATGAGGAAGTGTTTTTGTAGCATGAAAAGAAACAACCTAAGTAAGAGCAAGTGTAGCTATGAAAGAGGATGCTGAATTCTTGCATGCCGTACAAACACCTACATCATTTAACCTGTTCATAAATACTCTCCATGTAAAGATCTAAGAGTACTTTACAGTACCAGTTAGTTTTTACAGGATCCTACCTACAAAAATGATGTCTTACCAAAGCCACATATAGTGGCTTTCATGGAGTGATGTTAATCACAGTACAGCCAGCAGCAATGCTAAAAATAAATGCTGCTGAGATGAAAGTATAACAAGAAGCACAATGTCTGTGCTGAAGGGAATGTTGTGGAGAGCTAACTGCCCCAGTGCCCATCTGGCAGACAAGCACAGACAGTTTGAATTGTATCACAGCATGCAAATTTTGGTTTGTAGTTTTTCTTTGGATGTTGTGACACCACAGCTGCAGTTCTACGTCCTCACGGAGGTTGAGTTTCAAGGCCACAGAGATGTCCTCCAATGCAGTGTGCCCACCCACAGATGCTGGCTGAAAGGTTTAACCCATGGAGCAGCATCCCTCAAAGGAAATGCAGTGGTAAGCTTGCATTAAATCATGCTGGGAAATCCGTTTCTAAGACATTTGTCATCACTAATCTGTAATCACTAATGATTCTGGATGATGAAAGTGGGCCTCGTTGTATGCAGTATTGTTTATGTAATGAAAGATAGACCATTTCTCTCATCTGAAAGATGTGGCCTCTCCTCTTAGTTAATGTGTTTAAATGCAAACATGCTTTCTCAGCAAATCTCTCCCTGGAGTACTGCTTTTGCATTTCTCACTAATAAATGCTTTGCAGCTAGCACAGCCATCTGCCCATTCAAAATATTGCCAATAAAATCAGGGTAATTAGAGATAAGCAGAAGTTGGGATATATTATACGCTTCAACCAGCAGTGGTCATTTAATATGGTATTATTGAAATATGTATGCTTGAAGCACAGCTCAAGTAGCCTCCGCATCCAGATCTGAAGGTGAGTCTGTGAGCTGACAGAACTGCTAGCAGAACATACGCCCCCTGATCCCTATGTTACCTCCTCATCACTAACGCAGCTCTCGTGGGAGGTCAGTGAGGAGGTACCCAGAGCTATGCAGCATGTTCCCATCCAGTCAACAGAAGCTGCTTGTGTAAAGGAGAATAAGGGATGAGGTCAACCAGAGGCCATATGAAAGTAAGTTGAACGTCACATCTTGCACCCTCTCATTGATGTAATGCTTACGGAAAGGTCAGCTTCAATGCACTGATTGCTGGGCGAGTGCCATGCTGCAGTACAGCCCCTCCTGGCAGGAGAACTCATCCTGTGTGCACTGCAGCATGGACAATGAATGTGCGTTACTGCAGTCTGTTCTGCACAGAACACAGCATAGAAGGAGGCTCTCAGGGAGTACCTGGGCTGTACATCTGAAAAGTAGTTTTTCATTTCAGAACCTTTCTAGCTGGTATAGAAACCATTCACACACAAAGGTCCCGTACACGTAGCACGTGACAGTCTATTAAAATATCTCTATTTCTAAGCCTCTCAGTAATTTTTTTTTTTTTTTGCCCCTGGGAATATAGATTGTTGTGGAATATTCAAAAGGATCTGACACCACACATAAATCCTACTGTAAATGTGGGGATTTAAAACATTTCAGGACTAGGCCTCTTAAGAGTTGCAGCCTTCAATTTCTGAGCTCTGTAATTTTGATATGGTCAATTTATCATGCTGCCTAGAGAGGTCCCCATAATGAACTAATTAAGTTTCAGATACACAAGCAGTGACTATGGTTTTTTTTACTGTTTTACCAAACTGAGAGCTTAATAGTCTACACAAAATTAAAATACTGCCATAGCTAATTTAATTGTTCCACTATACTGCATAATTGAAACAGCATTTGTGAACTGATTTAAAGTCTCACCACATTCAAACTAGATAATAAAGAAATCCAACATGCAGTTATCTGCTGAAAGCTTTCAACTCACTCTTCTTCCTGAAATGGTGCAGGCAGTTCCCTGAGCAGCAGTCTCTATGAGCATAACATCAAGAGACAGCAGTGTCCAGCAAACTGCTGGAGCAGAGTTCAGCAGCATCAGCTCTGGGCTCCGGAGATGCAACATTAAACTGTTTTTTGCTTATACAACAGAATTGCTAGACAGGCTCCACTTTGCAAAAAAAGTAATCAAGCAATGCTACAAGTGCTTAGAACAGCAAAAGAGATGGAATCATGCATTACATGACTGCTTTAAGGGCATTCCCATAGGGACAGGAAATCCAAGAGGAGCAGCAGAATGCTCACTGCAGTCCTGTGGAACTGTGCCTAGAGCAGCTGTCAGCTCTGCAGAGAACAAAATTACAGTGTGTTCTTTTACTGACCAGGACATGAACTAAGTGCCTAGTAGTTCCATCTAACAAGGAGGACAACTCTTCTACTTACAGAGTGTCATACAGCAGCTTGGATAAAAGCACTTTAAGAAGAGAGAAAATATTTGTCCATAACAGAAAATTGAGAGCCAGCACAATGAAGTGGGAAGAATGTTAACAATTTACCAAGCTTGATCAGAATGCAGAGCAGAACTGTTCAGAGTCTTCAGCCACCGTCTGGGTGAGTTTAAACAGGACAAATCTAAGCTTAACCACTTTTAGACTACAGAGTGTTGATGTTACATGGACCACTCTCCTGTGCATCTAAATAGATAGGAAAGCCACTAGATTATGAAGTAGAAGTACATCTGTGGCCAATAATATCATGATACAAGCATGAGCTCTCTGATTTATATATAATAGTTATGTTTAAATGTTGTTTCACCACTTATCTACAAACTATAGAGGTATTATAGACAGCACTCTTGTTCCCATGAGGAAGCCCAGCCTTCCTGCTGGGTTTCTCTAGTGCCAGTGCTGGGTACTAAGACAGTTTTTTCTTCACCTATTTAGATACTTTTTTCTTTGCGTGAGGCTTCTCTTCTCTCTGTGAGACTCTAGCAGCTTCAGCCATCTCTAGGAAGAAAAACACAATAATCCAGGAGTGTATTTATTAAGTTCAATAAAGCTAATTAAGTAAAACGGCCCAGAAAATAATAACATTTTCAGTTCCATGCATTTATGTGACTTCACATAAAATTCAACAATTTAAAAAATATTTTTTTTGTTAAAACAGAAATTCAACCATTTTTAGTTATTAACTAGTCTCTGTTCGCTTTGAATGAATGCAGCTTTTAAAGCTTAGAAATAGGTATGTAGTATAAAATGATAAATTCATGTAACAAGGGCCATGGTTGGTTTCAATAGATGTCATTTTTGTTACCTTGGTAACGTAACAGGATCTGTGTTGCTGAGACCCTCAGTTTTTAGGGAAATGCTTATGCCATCTGCTGGGAAGTTTTGAAATTTGCCAAGAATTTTTTCACTAATATTTTATTTTACTGGCTTTTAGATGTTGAATATTTACACCAGTTGTTTTGTTATTTTTCTTTTTTAAGATCTGTGGGTATATGTAACATAGCTCAAAGGTACTTAAGGAGTTCTGCTAAGTAATTGCACCTGTTTCTATGCCAAGAAGTTGATGATGAAAGTGATGTGGGCTTAACTCTCTTGAGGGATGCATTGCCAGAGTTTAACTTAGTTTTCACTTAAACATGCAAAGTTAGTAAATGTTTTCTGAAATGGCAAAGCTAACACAGTTCTCTGACCTGTAGCATGAAAATAATACAAGGAAGGTGAGCACCATGCAAGCATATCCAGCAAAACTGCTCTTTACAGGATTAGTGTTGGATCATACTGAGTATGGTCTGTTGCCACACACTAAGTGAGACACATAAAAATGCATGTTGAATAAACAGTGCTAGCTGAGATTAATAACCTGTAGAAGAAATATTGTCCTGTTGAGCAGTTATTGTAAGATATGAGATCAATCTAAATCAGATTGGAACAGGCAATTTTTATTTTAGAATTTTCTTAGAGTTTTTTCTCTTTATAGCCTTTCAAGTTTTGTTAATGTGTTTTGATTGAGTAAATAAGCACAGAGTTTGTTCTTTGTTGTTAGTGGAGTGGAATATGAATGATAGAGACTTGTTTGCTCTAGAGGGTGCTGAGAAATTGGAGCAAAATGCTGCTGCTCAGCCTAAGTACGTCTACATGATTCTCAAATATTTCCAGGGATGCTGACTCCACTACCTCTCTAGTAGACATTTTTCAAGTTCTCTGGTGCAATTGAGGCTGTTCCCTCTCTTCCTATCACCGTTACCTGGGAGAAGAAGCTGACCCCTACCTTGCCACAACCTCCTTTCAAGTAGTAAAGAGCTATAAGGTAACTCTTGAGCCTCCTCTTCTCCAAACTGAACAATCCCAGCTCCCTCAGCCGCCCCCCGTAAGGCTTGTGCTCCAGACCCCTTACCAGCTTCGTTGCACTTCTCTGGATGCGCTCCAGGGCCTCACTTTTCTATAGTGAGGGGTAGAAAACTGAATACAGCACTTCAAGGTGCAATCTCACCAGAGCTGAGTACAGTACAGCTGAGTACAGTACGTTCCTCCTGCTGCTGGTTATGCTATTTCTGACACAAGCCAGGATGACACTGGCTTTCTTGGCCACCTGGGCACACTGTCAGCTCGTGTTCAGCCAAGCACTGACCAACACCCCACAGATCCTTTTCCTCCACACAGCTTTCCAGCCACTCTGCCCCCAACGTGCAGCATTACATGGGTTGTTGTGGCCAAAGTGCAGGACTGGGCACTTGGTCTTCTTGAACTTCATCGCATTGGTCTCGGCCCATCAATCCAGCCTGTCAGAGTCCCTCTGTAGAGCCTGCAAGTGGAGGAGTCCAAGAGAGGAGAAAATGATGTCCCAAAAGTTAACTATAGCCCTCAGCCTTACTTGGCTGAGATGGTACCACTGAACCTCATGCCACCGACTGCTGGGCTGAGCTTGAGTTCTGCTGTGCAGCTGCTGCTGAAAGGAAACACTGCTGCAGCAGGACTGCTGCTGCCACAAAGCTGACAATGAAGTGCTCTGCCTGCAGCTGCTGGCAAAACAGGCCAAGATGTGGCTGCAACAAGGCTGCAATAAGCAGCGACATGTCGGTCACTCCTGGCAGGAAGCTGAGGATCACAGAAACTGTGATCTTCTCATTCTAAGATTGTAATTTTGATTTTCAGATAGTGGCATTAAACTGCAGTGGAAAGGACAAGCATTTCCCTATCAGTTTACACTGGTAATGCATTATTAATTATGCAGAACTAGAGAGCTTAGCTGGAGGTCTTTGAGAAAGGTTTTCAGCAGTACTCCTAGAAGCAGGGCAGTTCAGATGCTGTTGAGTATTTTCCAAGTAAAATATGGTTTGATTGAAAATAAATAACTAAATAAAAATTGGTAGCTTTTTTTTTTTTTTTTTTTTTTTTT